TTAGAGTGCTCCTAGATAGCGTATGAAGGGCCAAAGAGATTCGGGTATGGATTAGAATTAAGGATGCATTTCTGTTTGTTTCTCTACTCTGCTGTTTCCTCCCTCAAGTACACATCCTAGAAAACAGCATACAAAGAATGGGGGAAAGGTGGGCACTCTGAGGTGTGTACCACTCAAAGATGCATTTTCTTTCATTTTGGATTGTGACATACCTTAGGCTGAAAGTGTTAAGGTTTTAGCCCATTAAGGAGATTAAGAATTAAGAATGAAATACGTATATGGCATTCATATTACTTAGATGGCTGCTAAGAATCTGCCAGTGCTGTCAGTGGTATCATAGAAGCAATAGGGATGTTGTTTTTGGTCAAAGGCAACCAGGCAAGGGCTTAATTACAAAATGCACAAGTTGGTAATTATCCATAAATTAATAAACATATTTAGGTCCTTGTATTTGTACAAGTCAAGATACTGTGTTCAGCTGCAAGATGACTCAGAGGGAACTAAGGCTTTCTGTAACAGGTGCTGAAAAAACAAAAAAGCAAAGCTTCCCTTTTAATTTACTGTTAAGAGGCATGCTAATATGCCAGGACAATATGTTTAATTATATGTAAAGTGGAGGTGGAACATGAGGTGGAACATGAGGTGAGGACACTGATTTTAAAAGTGAGACATCTGGGGCATAACTAGGGAGATGAAGGCTTTTACTTCATAATGGATTATATTAAAAAATATCTGCCATGCACTGCAGAGGTAATTTCCAATAATTAGCCAGATTTCATACAACTGTGGAACAAAAATGATTTAACTGTATAATGCAGGGTCACAAAAAGTAGGTTCTAACCAGAAAAATCTTGCTGAAATTAGACTCCTGTTTCAAAAGGTCTCCTGCACTCACACCTTCAGCCTTCTTGGTTATTAACTCCTTTTAAGAATGCTACTTGGTGTGTATTTTTGAGGTTAGGAGACCTGTGGATGACAACATTAGTAAACCTGTATCAGAGAGAGAGAGAAGTACAAACATGCATTAAAAAAAACACCTGCCAGACATGAAAATTATCTTGTTGGGAAAACTAATGTAAGACCAATACACATTTGCCTTGAGAAGATAGTTCTACCAGAACTTGCATGTTGTGTGTATGAGACTCAATGCATATGTGCCAAATACCTGTGCTTGTGGGTCATGCTGTGACCTACCTATGTAGTGTCAACCATGAACCTTCTCATGCAATATAAAGTGTGTAGGAAATCTGGGTTCAAATTATGTGTTCACTAAGGAATTCAGTGCATGGTCTAAAGCTACATTGTCATGTCAGATATCAAATATGCTTAGGAATCCAGACTTGTATGATTGGCTTCCTATGCAGATGAATAAAAGTACAATCCTATATATGTCTACTCAGAAGTAAGATTGAGTTCAATGGATCATACTTTCAGATAAGCATGCATAAGATTGCAACTAAATTAATGTAAATCTTAATGTGGCCAACACTGTTAGGATCCAGCCTGTTAAATGTGGCAGAGTAGCCCAGTTTAGGGTGGAAATGTGTTTTTAAAAGTTTTAATTCTAAAGAAATTAGTTCATATAGGGGCTTGTGGGAATTTTAGGCATTTTGGAACATACACACTCTTATATAAAATCCATGGCTTCTTAAGCTTTTTGGTAATGGGACAAAATAAATAAATGCCACTTTTTGGAAACCATTGAATACACTTTATCTCTGATCTAAAAATGAAAATATATGAAAAATACATGCGCAGGTATATATGTTGGCACACATGTTTAGAAAGCAGGATATTCAGTCGATGTCTATGAAGAGAGGCATTTTGAGTTTAGCTGTGATAGATTAAAATTACTATGACTTAACAAATTGCAGTCTAATTGTGCCCAAATAAATACTTCAAAAGAAACCTGAAAACTCTGTAGCACATAACAGCAAAGCAATGAATGATAGGAAAGAGGTGTCCATTGTAACGGTATGACTCTCATCACATAAACATTCTGGAGTTCACCCAAACGTCCTTCAAGTAGGCAACATGTAAAAGTAACTCTCAGCAAATGCAATATCCTGAAAAAACTGACCACACCAAAGGAATGGGGGAAGGCTATGGTGCACAACAGTATTGGTCTGAAAGAATGATCCATGGAAGCTATTTTTAGGGATCTCTTTTGCTTCAAGAACTCAGATTCAGTCCAGATCTAGTAGCAGTCTCATGGAAATGGTTCAAATTATTTCAAATCAATGGAGTCTACAACAGTATTAGTTATCAGGAATAAAATGATTCACGTGGAGAATCTCCATTCATAATACACTTTAGTTACAGAGAAACTCTCAAGGGCTGCATTGCAGTGGTTGGTGGGGCAAAGACAAAAGGGGTAGTGCTAGACTACTAATTATTTCAGGTTAAAACTTGCTGCCATTAACTAATCCTTAGGAGATTATTTCTACATTTTAGAATGGGAAAAATTGGGAGGAAAATCATATATTGGGGAAAACTTGAAGGGCTCAACTTGTACTATACACCTTAGAATGCCTGTGTTCTAAGCAATATGGACTACTGATACATGATCATGTTATATGTAGCACTTGCTACATGGAGTCCCAATGTAATGAATCTTTTGCCATACGCTGACATAACATGCAAACTGGCTCCTAACAAAACTATGGGAATTTCCTCATTCTGCCTCTATTCTAGTCCCTCACCCACTTGCATACAAAAGGTCTTTATTGCTGCCACTGATACTCCATATTTTAAAACAAAGAGGTAAGTTTGTATATAGGAAGTGGTGCATGTTTGCTATTGAGACATTCCCCTTGGTCAGAGTAGCAAAAATAGGTATCTGGGTGCACCCAAAGAAGACTTGAGATTTTTTTTGTTGGTATTTTATTATTCCAGAGGCATCTTTTTCTGTCATTTATTGTCTTCCTCACTTTTCTGTTTGTATAATAAAGGATGTGTGCATAAACTGATAGCTTTCTTTGCTCACAGAATATGAAAATGAAATTTCATTAAAAACATGAGGCATGTTGCAGAATCAATGAATGAGAATACTTCACACCTCCTTACATCCTGCTGGTCAGAACTACCTTGGTTATATAAAAATGCCTTATTTTCTGGAAACAGGCAGAAAACTAGGTCTGGATAAAAATAAAAGTAATAATTATTGTAGTTAAAAACCAAACCTGATGTATGCTCTTTCAGGTTCGATAATACCAATAAACTATTCAAGGTTTTTACCATTTGTGTTTGATGGTTCTCAAAGGAGATCATTCAATTGAATGGTTGAATACACTAGTTACTGGTAATGATCCAGGTTTGCTCCATAGATTATCCTGTTGAATAACTATCAGCAATCCCATTTCAATTTTTTTAGCCATGCTGGAGCTAGAAATGTTTGTTTGAACTGAGCTGGAGAATAAGAACTGCTTAATTGTATCAGTGCAGTAGAAAAACACACAGTGAAGACAGAAGAATGGTCAGGTGAGATTTCTGAAAACAGGCTAAAATATTATATAACATTGCTAATAAGTTAGGAGCATCTTAGATAGCTTCCAACCACAGAATATTTAGTTTTCTTAGTTCGGAAATCTGTTTCTTTTCCTGATGTGCCTTTGCAAGTGGGTTGTAATTTAACAAACATTTCTGAATTATGCAAGAGACAAAGATAAAGAACTTTAAGACTGTTACCATGGGTGATATAACAGTGAATAGATTACAACAGAAGGAAAAATGACTTTTGTGACACAAGAGAGTCACATGTCAAATGTGGATTATTATAGTTTGAAATTATCTGCTATATTGATATGTTAGAGCAAGTTACACAAACAAAATCATCAGGATGCCTATCAAAATAACATATTTTTAACCCCAAAGGGATGAAAAGGAAAAAAAATGTAGAAATACAGAACTGCTCCTAGCCGTCAACATCTAAGAGGAAACAGTAAGAATTTGCGCTTGAATGATATTAAAGATACAGTAACATCAAATGAAAAGAGGAAGAAATCAGGGTGTTTCTTTACAAAACAGACTAAGGCTTGAGAAATGACACTGTAAGCTCTGTTCTATTAGACCCAACTGCTTCAATGAAAATTCCAAGTATCAATTCCTATTTTGCCACATTAGTTTAAGAGCTTCTTTCCTGTCACTTTGCTCTGGCAAAGTGGAAAGAAGGAACCCATTAGCCAGAAATAATGTGTTGTGTCATGCCCAAAGGAATGTTACTTGTAGGAGGATAATACTGGTATCTGAAGGAATCATGTCACTGGCTGTGACCTCTATTTTCTTTATCCACATGTTTCCAGAGGAATATGGGGATGCCTTCAGCAGCACTGCTGCGGTAACATATGAACTGGATCAAAATTTCAGCAACCATTGGGTTAAAAAGTGCATTAGAGCTGCAGTAATTTTCATAGAAATAACCACCCCCGCAATCCAGAGCATTGCATGTATTCCGATATAGAAATGGAGCTCTTGTGTGCATGGGTTACCCCATTCATTTCCATGAGAGGATGAGATTTGCATAAGAAAAGAAACACACTTCTGAACTGGCTTCCATGGTTTCGATGAATGTGGCAACCTTTGTGAATGCATGAACTCTGAGCATCAGAGCTCCTGTGGCCAAGAGAAATAATTGGATCAAGTCTCTGGATATTTGTAATAGGTACCAAATACAACTCAGAGCTAAGTTGTACTCATCAAAGTATAAGCTTTCTAAATAGTACTACCAGGTTTATTTTTACATAGGCTATTTATTCAAAAACTTATCCCTATCCCTGAATTCAGCAACTTTGGTTGGAAATGATCATCTTTTCTTCATCTTCTTTTTGTAAGAAGAAAAAAGCTACTACTATCTCTGAGGTTGTTGTATCATTTGACTACATTAAAATAATCCAAGAGCAACCATGAGGAGGAGGAAGAGACTAACCTTCACTGCTATTAATTGAATTGGTTTGATTTTATAGTGAAATGAGAACAGTATTCAAGAACACCCATCACAGTGCTTAACAAGATTTAATGTACATTTATTCTTAACATGTGGAACATATAAAGATTTTATACTGAATAAATGATATTCATTAAGCCAGAGGAAAAGGAGGAATTTACATCAAGTTTTTTTGTCTTTTTTTAAACTACATTATTTTGAAATACAAATGTGGATTCTTCTTACTGAAAAATCTTTGAAGTTGTGTTTCTTCCTTTTTTCCTGTATATGTAGTTTTTTTTTCCTGTAGACTGGTAACCATTTTCTTAAATCAATCCATATGTAACCATTTCCACATCTTGATTTATAAAGCAAGTTGTGAGCGATTGCTCTCCCGAAATAGAGCATGACTTTATACATACAGAAACTTGTACATTACCCTCGTGGTGGTGATTTTATTTTGTTGTTACTGCTTTTGGAGACATGGCCCAAACAAAATAATAATAATTATTATAATAATTATAATAATAATAATAAAATTAAGTCTACCATCACTTTGTAGTTACCACATCATGAAAAAGAAATCCTTGTATTTATTTTATTTTGTTTTGTTTTTTTTTTTAAAAAAGATGAGGGTATGTTTAATGTACAACTTCTATATACATCACTGCCCTTAGGCAATAAAAAATATTAAAAAATGATTAAAAGGAATTGTGAAGAACTGTCATTGTGGAAGGTCAAACAATACATACTGATGTGACAGTTCTGGTGAGGAAGCAATTTATGTTGATCGTCTTCAGATTTGTGTCTTAACTTTCCTAAAGAATTTGTTTTGCTCCTAGCCTAATGTACCCATTCTCCTGTGGAGAAACCAAGTTAATTTCATATGCAGACTATGGACCAACCCCCTTTTCTTGATCCGCTACACCTACATCACTAACATTCTTCTATTGCACAGAGCGCTTTGGGCAACGGCATAAAGGGTGGTTTTCCTTCGTTCTTGAGAAATACACAGTAACTCAGAATATTTTTTCCACTTTTGCACTTCAGAGTGGTGAGCCTTCCCCCCAACATCAAATCATGTTTTGCAATATTTTAACACCCAATATCTCTAGTTTGCTTTCCCTCCCAAAAAAATATGTGATACAGACATGGAAAGAAACATTAAAAAGGATATCTATTGAAAAGAAGTGTGACCTTTGAATGTACTAGACAGAAACTTTGGTTAAAAAAAATAAAATAAAAAGATGTACTTATACACATAGACAGCAAATATTAATTTCATAACTGTTCAATGTTTTAAAATTCCCAATTGGTAAATAGTGAATGGGGCAGAGGAGCAAAGATTCTTTTTTTTTCCTTCTTCCTACACTGGATAAACAGGTACAGAAAACAGCCAGTTATATGTGACCCTCTAATCTCCACTCACACATGCTTGGCTTCTCACTTATGTCATAACTGCCCAATCTGAAAAAGTACATCACAGATGACCGACGCAACCAGAGAGTTCAGGACAGCAGATATTGAGATATCCAGCAAACGTCCCTCATGTAAAAGGAACTCTGATCGGTTCTCCTCCACCCGAGCCATGGCCAGCAAAGCCTTGGCTGCCCTGCACATCATGTCTACACTAGGTGGCTCCAGAGGTGGAGGTTGCATGTGCATGAGGTTATGCTGGCTCTGCTGGTACTGGGCCATAGTGACCCCATCCTCAAGGAAGCTTATCAAGTTTCCAATGCTTCCCTTCTGCACAGCTATTGCCCTTGCTGCTAATGTGTCCCCCTGTGCAAGGTTTGATAAGAGTGCCATGGACATTTCTCGGCATACTGGATTTTTGCGGTCCCCAACGTACCTAACTAAAGTAGCATAGAGTTTTTCCTGACGACTGAATGGAGGAGTGGCCAAAATAAGGTCCACATTATTGTCTTGGATACTGAGTTTACACAGGGTTTCCAGTACAAGTCTCTGAGGTGAAAGGACTGAGTTGGGCCCCACGGTTGGAAAAGGATCCTGTGCCTCAGCAGATGGGCACACCATCCAGTGCAGTAAGCCATCCAAGATTGGCAAACAGATGCTTTCTGTGTAAGCAGATAAGTCTAGCTGCCCAGAAATGTTGGCTAATGTGACCAATGTATTATCCCTCAAGACTTCAAGGCAGTCCCACCACCACTCATCCTTGCTGCAGGCCATCCCTTTGTCCGCCTCCTCTTCTTTTTCATATGTCTGCGGTGCACGCTTTCTTTCTGGGTGCTCATGATGGAGAAGGATCAACTTTCCCAAGATTAGCACCAAACCTGGATGTTTAGACATTTCAGCATCGTTGCCAGGCACAAAAGACAAGCTGCGGACAATATTTGACACACAGATGCAACGCTTGGCCAAAGAGTCCTGCCAGTGAGTTATGGTGCATAGAGGAGTCTCATCTCGACTCCGTGGCTCATCTTCTAGCAGCTTGATATTGCGATGACTTTTAGCTTGATGAATTCCAAATGGAAATTTACTGCTATCTGTCTGAGAACTAACATCTGAGTCTTCAGACAGTGCTCCTGGACGAGCTGACAAAACATCATCAATAGTGGCTGATATGCTTTTGTCTTGCTGTTCCTCAGATTCTCCTTTCCCTTCCACATTCTTCTTTTTGCTTGAAGAGTTTGATGGAGGGGGTGGCCTCCTGCGAGGAGGTATCTCCATCTTGCTCTCAAAGTGGGTCTGGATGTGTTCAGTTGTATCACCCCCACCAAGCTGCCAGTGGAGAAGTCCACTATTGAATTCCTGAACACGTCCCAGCCTGTCAGATCGGTCAACAACAAATAGATTATTTTTCTTTACAATTTTAATTGGCAGCTTGTCAAACTTACTGGCTTGTTTTGGCCGCTCACTTGGATCAGCAATGGCACCAGGGGGAGCAAGAACACTGATCTTCTCTTCTCCTCCTTCAATGTTCTCATTTTCATCTTCTTCCTCATCCTCAAATTCATCAAAATAATGAATACATTCATCATTGTTTTCTTCCTCTTTCCTGGCATCCTGTGTTGCAGATTGGCTATCCATTTTCTGAACTGAATTATGATCTTGTAATTTTGGTCCCGGATGTCCCACTTCATATTCCATAAGGATCCCAAAAATATCAATCAGACATTTTCTAAAATATTCCACCAAAAGCTCAAGAAAACCAGATAACTGAGGAAACAAAGGGGGAAAATAACATGTTTAGAAGAACATTTCAGACCATGATACCAGTGGTAAGAGATATACTTTTTATTTTTAAATATGTAAAATGAGTTTTAGGCTGCCTTCTGGGGTCCAAAATGTTCAGAAAATCTCTTCTTTCTATCTAATCTTCTTCCTATCTACCTAATCATTTCAGTGTGTATTGGGCAAGCAATCTTAACCTTTTGCTGGAGTGGTTTACAGGGGTTAGAATTATGGAATAGCATCCCCCTGTTGGTGAAAATCAGTTCTTCCAGCAAAGTGGCATGTCTTCCTTGATAGGCCTGTAGAAAACTTTAGATGAGTTCACAGTGTTCTCACCAGTGAAAGAGGCCAAAACACGAAGTTCTGGGCCTGGGATGGCTTAGAATTCACAAAATCCAGAGCCACCACTGCTAGCATGGCATGGCCCCAAACTGGGTTCGTGTAAACCACTCAGAGACCATTAATTCTGCCTTTCATTTGTATAAATGGCAAGGCAATGAAAATAGTTAAACAAACTGAAATGAAGAGGAGAAAAACATTCCTTTCACACTGGTTTCCATTTGCTGGCAAGGATTTGGAAGTGGTGGATTTTTCTCCACAACTGCCCTCTGCTGTTGAAAAGCAGGTGTGCAAAAGAAGTTATGTTTGATGATAGTGTAACCGGTTGAGGGCACTGAAGTTCTGACAACTGTAAGTTTTTCCTTAGGCTCTCTTCCCTTTTTAAAAAATACTCATCAGATTCTATCTTCCTGAAATGGTTAAAAATGCAAATTCTTTCCCAAAAATACAAATTTAAAGTAGGTTTCTTACAACATCATCTTCAAGGTTTCTGTGCAGATTACAATATGCCCTTATTCTAATGTATACATACAGAAACCTTGGGAAGACTAATAGGTTGAGAGATAATTACAAGTATTGGACTTGCAAATAGGTATACAGAAGCTACTGGACAGGCATCTGAGAGAGATGGTTTAACCTGGAGTCCTACACTGAATAGGGGGATGGACCCAATGGCCCTCTGGTCCCTTCCAGCTCTACTATTCTATGATTCTAGCCTATAAACATTGGCAGTACTCCTTCTATCCATACATACCTACACCGTTATTTGTAGGACTTGCACAGTCTGAAAAAAAGCAATCAAAGCAACTCTCTTCTAATTTACCAATGATTTTCTGCCTGGTCACTTGGGAATGATTATTATACATTGCAGGTAATCAGGCAAGGGGCTCTTTACAAGCCTGGACTTCCCCATCCTTCTCAATGTTCTGTTCACTGTTTCATATTCCATGCTGTCCTGTACACATGGATTAATGCATAGCACTGATTGTGAAAACAGAAGCAAGCCAGGAGAACAGTTGGCCTCAAAAGCAATTACAATCTTCACCCTGCAAGCAAGGAGTCTAGCAACATTGGCAGAACACAGAGGGATGTTCATACTGCTTCTTATTCCCAGTGGCGTACATATCTTCTGAATCAAAGAAGATAGTCCTCTGAAGTGACAGCCTGTCAGCTTTTCAACAAAACTAAATTCACCTTTACTGCAAATGCAAAATTAATTTTGCAAAATTAACAGGGAGAGACCTGTTACTGGAGGTGAAATCTTTTTATATGGTGACTGCAGACGATGAGATATATGACATCAAACACAAATATTTATTTAATGCTTTTCAATGCACTCCAGGCAGAATGCTATGGAAAGCCTACAAAACTTAGAGGATTATGGGCATCTTATGTAGGGTGGGAAGAACATGGAGGTGAAGATCGCCTCTGCCTTCTTTCTTGCTTTGCAAAAGCATGACAACTGATTTGGCACAGGGGGAGAGAGAGGGAAGGAGGCTGACACTCCCACATAAGGCATCCTTTCTTGGTCGGCATGGTCTTCGTCCCTTCCTGCCCCACAAAACCCTTCTCTGAGGTTCTTTACAACCTCTTATGGAGGAGTCAGCATGGTTCTTTCCATTCCTGTTGGGGTGGTATTTGAGTGCAGGTCTCCATCAACAAAGTCAAAGCAATTTTCTGACCTTGTAGCTAGGAATCTGGAAAATCCTATGGTTGTCTAGATATACTTCCACTAAGGAAGAAGATGGTGACCAAAATGGTTTTCAGGCCAGTGATAAACAAATAAAATATTTTACACTTGGCTGATGCACTGAATGTATTTCTTCAGTTGCTGCTTCTGTTTGTGAAAGCTGTATTCACCCTAAATACTGAATCAGGAAAAATTCTGGTTTGGTCACAGTTGCATGAGTAAATTGTGCGAACTGTCCTTTTTGATATCCATATCTCACTGCACCTACCCCATTCCATGAAATCAGGTATAGTGTTCACCTGATTCTTCAGAATATCTTTTGGTGGGGATTTGAAAGGAGATGCTCAGAAATTCTTGTTGTGACTGAAACTGTGTTCCCTTGTCTTAGAATCCCAGCCATGATAAGAGAACTCAGATCACACTTATTTATTTATTTATAAAATTTGTATGCCGTCCAATTACTGACGTCTCTGGACGGCTAACAGCATAAATAAATTGACGACCCACTCTGGCTGCAATTAATAAAATACAACAATAAAATTTGATATTAAAACATTAAAATATTGATTAAATAAAAAGGTCTTAACCTGGTGCCGAAAAACATATAATGATGGTGCCAGGCAGACCTCTCTGGGGAGCGCATTCCCTTCTTAAATCAGGGAATCAGACACTTACTGATTTAATTTTTTAAAAAATAAGCCCTTGTGGTGCCCCTTGAAGGACATTTAGCATCATGAGGTTTGAAAAAAATGCCTGTCCTGAAAAATACCCAACCTACCTGAGAGAGATTGAAAGTAGCAACAGTACTGTCATCATACAGAAGGATATTAATAGTGTCTAATGCCCAAGTACTTTCAGCAAGAAGGCCTGATTTAAGCGACATCATCACTCGCCAAGCCTCCGGAGTCACTAGAAAGTAACAAGATAAAGAATTCAGTATGAATGCTGTCTAGCAATTGAGTACAAATCTCAAGTGGCTATAAAATTTGGCTCAATGATAAGAATGGATGCTTGTATACTAGTTTATGGCATGAATTGTCTTAATTTCCTCAATAGCCTCATTTATACAATCAATTCCTGATTGTAATAAGCTGCAATTTGTACAACCTTCAGGTAGCCACTTCCTTCATGTGACCAGAGAAATGAGCAGGAAGGCACAGTTAGCCATAGCCTTCAATTACATGTGAAACAGGAATCTGGATAAACTAGCCAAGTGGCCAGGATTTGAATTCTTGATTTAATGTTGCCCTCCAAATGCTGGCTTTTTGGAAGCCATTAACAGAAACTTCATGTATATTCTGGGTTACTAGAACTGACATACTACTTTTGTGTATTATGGGGTTATTTTTGGATGTTACCATGAAAAAAGTTGCCATTGTCTTGAGGAATGCCATTTTTATCTTCAGTCAGAACAAATCCTTCCAATTGAGCACTGCATTTCAGCAGGTTAAAACTACCCATCTTTAGAGGAAATATGCTATTTTAAAGATAGGTTGTACAGAATGGGAGCATCATGTTGTGAATCATCGCCATCTGTTATGCAAAATGAAGAGCTCATCCTCTCTCTAGCATTAGGAGCGGAGGGCCCAGTAGATGCTGATTAATAATGCAATGAGCTGTGTTCTCTCTCAAAATCAAGAATGTGCACAAGAGTGGTACATTCTATCTTTCTTCATGCTGCAGATATAAACCATTTTTGCATGCTCTGAGGAACTGGTAGGAGTTGAGGAAATCAGTTTTAATTTTGCAGTGCTTGGATCTGGCTCAAATGTTTTGAATACTGTATAAATATTCCCTTTTTCTGCCTAGCCATGTATTTTACTTCTCAGCCCTCACAATGAATGCTGAAGGGGTACTTTTGGAAATAAGCGAAGATGAATACATCATTAATACCTGGTACTCTTTCCATCAATGGAAATAAATTCTCTAATGCTACCTTCACTTTCTTCATGGAGAAAAGGGAGTGCGAAATGGCCAGAAGGAACAGCAAATGGAAAATGAAATACCAGTTGCAGAATACTCAGGTTGTTCTGAATGATGCTCAGAAATATTTGTGTACTTTTACAAAACACAACTAGATGCTATTTGAGACAGTAAGAAAATTCTAGTCAAAGGTGTGGGAGTGTGTGAAAGCATATGTACATTCAGTAAGACCACCATACTTCTCCCTTCAGAAAGAAATGGGCTGATCAGAACTTCCAATATTTACCATTTCAATATTCCATGAATACATTTTTACTTCTTTCCAAATAACAGCTGTGCCATGTTGCTAAAAAGAGCCCCATTGATATTACATAAATTTATTTGCTTCCTTTGCTTCCTCTTCCCATTGAACTAACAATTCTCCATATTCTATAGTAGAAAGAAAGCTATCTTTTTTTTTTTTTTTTGCTGTACAAAACAGTCTGATACTTATAATACTGTACCTAGGAAACAGCCTACAAGATTCATCCCTTTGATCTGAGATTAACATTAGCAGAGATGCAACCATCAGTTCTTACCAATAGTATTATGATTTAATTTAAGTTTACAATAATAAAAGGTATACTCCAGTCCTCTTCCTGCAATGAAATCACAAAATTCTTGCTTGCTTTCTGGAGGAGCAAAACATCAGAAGCACTTGGAAGACAATGTCTAACATGGGAACTCCTACTTTGCGACAATAAAAGATACAGTGATAGGAAGTAGTCACTTACATATGCAGGTATCAGATCACCTGATGGGGCAAATATGGTCACAGCTTCTAAGAAACAACTTTGGGCATGGCGGCAATTTTAATTTCACAAAGCAAATTTATATATATGTAGCCTTTACACAATTAAAGGCAGATTCCTTTTCATATAGGACAACTGTACGATCCTTACCAATATCTTTTGAGGTAATTTTTCGTCTTGGTTTCAAGACTGGTTGAGATGCTTCTACAGAGCCTGGAGGAAAGGTTATTTCCCTCCTAATTGGTGGTGGCTGTGATGGAGGACCTGTGACCTGGGAGACTGGAACAGCCGGCATAACTTTCGGCATCTTCATAGAGGGCAGGAAAGGTGATTTGCTTGGAGACATCCGATTTTCATGGGAACGGGGGAAAGATGCAGGGCTTGGAGCCCGAGAGATGTGGTTTGGCATCGCTGGTGGTGTCTGGTAGGATGACTGAGGAGGTCGAGTGATAGGCTGCATGGAGGCAGAGGTTGACATGTAAGAAGGCTGACGCTGGTTGACATGAGAAGGCCACTGACTTTCATGGTTTATCCTCTGGTCAGGTACCATCATATCCTCAGTACGGTTCATCCCTGGATAAGGAGGGGCCTGTGCAGGACCTCCAGGAACTTGCCTGTTCTGATATGGGTAAGACATATCATTTCTAGAGGACCACATGTTCTGTTGGGGACCTTCACTTGAAGCTGAAGACTGCATAGGGCCACCAATCATCTGAGGAGGTATTCCATGTTGCTGCATTTGTCCTGGCCCCTGCATCCTTTCTCTGTTATATGGATATGGATATTGTCCTTGCATGGGCCTCCTGTCTGGTCCAGAGTACGCATTGCTGTATTGGTTAAACATATCCTGTTGTTGGTTGCCATACTGCATATTAAACATATCTCCATCGGGGCGTTTTGCTGGAGGACCGTACATACCATCCATATGGCGTTTGTAGTTCTGCAAAGGAATACCCATATGAATAAGTTTAAAATACAATGAAAATATTACTTTTCGTATGTCTGTGCACTTGTATGACAAATTTAAGTTCACACATTGTACAGATTTTGGTGTAATTATAATATTGTACTTTTATTAGCGTTTGATAGACACATGGTGATTTTTTAATTATTCCAATAAATCTACATGAATTGACAGAAATGTCATTTTCCAGATTTAGTGTACAATACACAGAAAGAATTATGACTTAAATGGCAAACTAGAAATGCTTATGATTATTGCTGAGGCGGTCCTTTCATTTTAGGAGGTTTGTTTTGATGTGCTTATAACTTTACATTTAAAAGAAAATTAGCCTTAGGCTAATATTTCTCATGATCGTTCTTAATCCAAGGATTAAATGTTTGGCAGTTGTGAAGAGAAGAAGCTTGAATAAAATTCATTGGTTATTTTTGACATTTCTAAAAAATCTGTTCTTCACTAGTTAAGGACAGCATCCAGTGTGAATGCTTGTCACCCACCAATCTTGGATGACTACAGGCATTCAATAGAAGGCAGAAGGAGCATGGAAGTAAGGATTGCCTCAGTTCTCCTCTCACCCTCCAAAACATTTACACTGATATTGTGGCTGATTTTGGATGTTTTATACCAGTTCATGAGGAGAGAAGCTGGTAGCATCAGGGTTCCTCATAGGGTGGTGGTGCCTTGTGCCTCCCTGCCTCCCCCTGCTCTGGCTTCAAGGTCACAAGATTGACCTCAGAGCTGCAGCCATTACACAAAGAACTGCCAGCTACGAGGACAGAGGGAGGGTGCAACAAAACTCAGGATACCGGCTCTGACAAACAAAGCACTTTTCCGGGTTTGGAGTTAGGACTCTGGTTTATTTTATGGCTCTCTAAACAGTATCTAGTGGCTATAGGATTACTCGCTAAGTCATTTTTATTTTTTTAACATGCAGAAACATGGAAATGTCACTCTGTAAATCTGTGACATATTTTAGAATACTTTTAAATATATGAAATCATATCCATATGAATGTGTAAGATGAATGAAAGCATCTGTTCATCTAGGATACAACCTATATCAAACAAGCACTGAACTGAACTAAAATCCGAGAGAACAGCTTGTCTCATATGCTCTTAGATCTTCAGAGGAGACCCTTTTGAGGTTCCCCCCACATTTGACATTCTCGGAGTAGTGAAGGGGTTCAGGATCTAGACAGTCCAATGTATGAAAATAGTGAATATTGAGTTTTAAAGCCTTTATTGCTGGAATTGCTCTCTGTGGCAACTCAAATTTGTAGGGGAGATGGATGGGCTGGAGGTTCCCCATCCCTGCTTTAAAGATTTGGTTTAATCATATTTTTAGAATGAATGCTATATAAAGGTAACACATATTACCAGCAAACTCATTCACTAAGTGATCACCTTCCACAGCCAAAATGGAATCATCAGGATACAGGAGGGAAGCATTAGCAGGACTGAGATTTGTGGAAGTACAAAAATATTTAAGAAAAAAGAAATTCCCAAAATGGAGAAACACCCTTAACGAGGACTGGGTATGCACAGTGGACACAGAATCCTTACAGTCTGTGTCTGTGGTGCTCATTGTGAGGGAATGGTTAATGAATGAGGAAGAGGAATGCAATGACGAAAGAGGACATGGCTGGTTGCAATAATTTGTGGAAAATCCCACTTGTTTTTAACTATCTGAAACTGGAGAGTTTCATTGGGAAATAAGATATAAATTAACGAAATAGGAACTTGACTATTGTAAGCTGATGGCTACTTCAGCTATAATTGCTCTGTAATACCTTCTGGAGAGTGGCATTGACAGAAGCAACCTCTGTAATTCACTTGGCAGTTTTCTTTCTCCTTAGATCTGGTTGCTCTGAGGCTTTGTGTGTCTCCTCTTGTATTTTTGCCCTCCAGAGCTAGCTGCTTGAAACATATATTTCAATCAAGCACCCCCACTGCCCTTGTATGGATACAGACTCCTCCCTAAGTTAACTGCATTCATTGGAAATGTATCCTGTAATTTGTTTATGCACTCACAGCAAGTTAGTAAATAATATGCATTGCCCTGCACTGTTCACTGAATCAACATCTATGAAATTTTCCATACAAAAAGATCCAAATGCATTAATTCACACATGTGGCAACACCCTTGCTGTCTTCCAATGGACCTTACCCTTGATTCTGTTTATTCTAATGTTGTTTGCTATTTCTCAATGTCCAAATGCATGGATTTCTTGAATTAATGCTGAAAAGGGAGGTATTATAACCATATAAATTTACCTGTTGTTGTGAAAACATTCCAGGTTGGTGTCCTCCATAGGGTGGCTGTCCTGAAGGAGGTGCTTGTGCTGGATATTGCTGTCCATATGGTTCATGCCTACAAATGAAGAACATTAATAATTATGATTTTCCAAGTCAATAGAAGCTATTTAAAAAAATCCCTCTTGAAGTTCTGCACAAATCCTCCCTTCTTATTTATTTTATGTTCTTGTGGAAATAGTATTAATTCTGGCAGTTATGCTCTAATGTAGTTCTTGTTTTGTTCAATGCCACTATATCAGCATAGATCAGTGATCACAACTGCACCTTGGAATCTATTTTGACCTTTAATACAGGCCGGCATAGATCAAATATAAAGCCACAGAGGCAGTGGTTGAAGGCTCCTGGTCACATGATTGGAAGAAGGATGTATGCATGATTCACTAGTTTCCTGCTTTCCTTCTAATTCCTATGAGGGTGGAAATATCACTCTGGGACCACTCTTATCTTCCTGCTCAGAATGATGGGTATCTTGTCAAAGTCTAAATGAACTGAAACCAGTGGTCAAAATTATGTGACCAATCTACAGTAGGTTAGAAAAAATCCAGCTGAATGGCTGAATTTTTTTCTGTGCTTGATTCACACTATACTGGTAAAATAAAGGCTTTGCTTGTATTGCCAGAATGATACACTTTCTCAATTATTTATTTAAAAAGAAGAAATGTTTTATTCAGAAGGCATTCTAATACTACATTTAGACAACACAGTGGTCTTAACAAAATATTATTGCAATGGGATGCACGTAATAAAGAAATTTAAAGCAATAGTGACAATTCTGGGGCAACTATACACACATACGCACAGTGCTGTAAATAGTTTTGAGTGTACTAATTATGTAGTATACAGCAAATGGAAGCACTTTAGGTGTAATTTGAATCTAACTATTTAACTGGGTAGTAGCCTAGAGCAATGTACCTAATATCAATGGTAGACTCCAACTGGATATAACTTTGGAATCTGCTGTGATAATGTAACATATCCAAATCATCCAGTCGCAGATTAATGATCCTTTTATTCAGGAAATTAAGATTTAGGACTGGCTGTAAATAATAGCATCATAAACTGAATAAGGCTTATTTTCCTCCACAAGCCTACCCAAACACTAAGGTTATTATTAGAAGGTCTTTGCCAAGTCCTCCACCCTTCTGCAGTTACAGGAGTGACAGCCAGAAAGTGCCTTTTTCTGTGTGATGGCTAGCCTGTGGAAGGCCTTCTCCAGAACAGCTTGCAATTCCATGGCCATCTGATAGCAGAGATTCCAGTACATCACCTCAGCTGGTTGTAGGCTGTATATTGGTCTGATGGTCTATATTTGTAAAAACTGCTTTTGTTATTCTGTTTACTTTTACATCTGTATATTTCAATATTTTCAGTTGGTAGAAGAGCTTAGGCATTTATTAACGGAAGAATGGTATAATAGACTACCATCCATCTTTAAGGTGTTTCATTTGCCATGGAGCCTCTTACACAGACATACTCGATACTATCATGAATCTAAGAGCCTAGTATATAATTGTTAATAACTAGAGAGATACAGTGCTTTGCAGAAGTATTCATCCCCTGCTGACTTTTGCACATTTTGTTGTGTTACAATTTGGGATTGAAATGCAGCTAATTGGCACTGTTACCCCTTGTACACACAAGATGCTCAACACTATGGAGGGACAAAATATTTTACTGTGGCACAAAAGTTATAGGTCCAATATACAGACAGACACAAGGTGGTTCTGTATCTCTACAAGGCCTCTTATAGAACCATAGTGGCATACAATAATGAAACCTAAAAACTGAAAGAGTCTGAGAATGAGTTCTAAAGAAAGAGTTAGGGTGTGCTTTTGGCCCTTGAGAGCAGAAATGGTTTATACTGTCCTTTGTAAGTGCAGGTGACATTATTACTGCATTGCAGTATATATAACATTATTTGCTATAAGATTCCAGGAAAAACATTACACTGCATTTCATGGAATCCTTTTCAATAGTTCTATTCATTTGTCTACAAAAGGTCACCTGAAGAAAAGTATGGATGTTTCAAAGCTAAACTTACTTAAATTAAATGTAAAAGGTTGAGAACTACACACTGCACTGCTATGGAAGTAAAATGATAGCTTCAAATTACTATAACATTCTATGGAAGTATAATAATATAATTAAAGACCCATTCCACACTCTACAAGCTGACAATGAAACTGGTGTTATGATTCAAAAAAGAAACAAGTAAAAAGTAAAAATTAGGATCCTGTCAATTCCAAAAGTACTCCACCAAGTACCGCTGTTGTGCAGGCACTACCATTATCAAAACTGCTCATGCCAGAGACCTGTAGAAATCCCAATGAAATGAAAACAGGATGCACAACAACAAGAGTTGCACCTTCTGTGCAGTAAACCTCAAGATGTAAAATTATCTGATATTATCTTTAAAATAGTTAAAGGGTAGGTCACCTTTGCTGCCCAGGGTAACGGTTAGGAGAGTACATGCTTGGGTCACTGTTTGAAGGCACCATGTTGCTTTGCCCAGGTGCTCCCATACTGCCTTCAGGACCCAGCCCATGATCCGACCTAAAAACAACAAAGAAACCTCATGCTATAAAAAGCACTTAATTCTCCAAATTCTCCCAGTCTATGAGAGCCACATGTGGATGGATGCTATTATTTATTTATTTCATTTTTATACCACCCAATAGCCATGGCCTTCTGGTCAATTAACGGAAATTAAAAAACACACAAACAAAAATTAACATAAAACAAAATTACTTTAATGGGACATGTAATCAAGTACTTGTACGCACACACATCCATTTTTCACCAAACTGGTCAACCATGCATGTCCTGATTGGGGTAAGAGGGTTTACAAGCTACCGATGCAAAGGCGACATAACTTCTGACACCCTTTTCCTTGCAGACAGTTTTACAATCTTTCAGAAAAAAATGCAAAAGAATCACAAAAGGGGGGGGGCAGAGTTTCTAAGGGGCTACAATGTTCATGAAAAGAGAAACTTCAACTTAGTAATAATTACAAATCCTGGAAAAAAAAAGACGTCAAATACACCCCACTGAAGGACAGCTTTCTTCCTTTCTTTAAAGTTTCTTCTTTAATCATGTCCCACAATAACTCCTGCAAAATTAGATTTGATCTGCTCTTTCTAGAACACTTCAGGTGGCATGGTGGGGAGGGGGGTTAGTTAGAAGGAAGAAAGGGGAAGACTTGTGTTCACTGAGTCTCGTGCCTTCTGAGGAAGATGAAACCACTCACCTCCTGTCATAACCACCTCCATAAGGAAACTGCTGGCGTTGGCCTATACCCATGTTGGACATGGCTCCAGAGGGAGTTTGGTTGTACAGATCCTGCATTCCGCTGTTAGGCAGTTGCCCAGGGGTCATGAAGGGTTCACTGTTTCCAGGCACTACAAAAAGATTGAAACAAAGCAAAAGCATAAAACAAAACGCAAATGCACAGCATACAGATTTTAGTTTGCATGTTCAAGACATATTATTTATTTATTTAAAACTTTTATATGCTGTCCTATATGTGAGACATCTCAGGATGGCTTACAATATTAAAATCAGAATACACTAAGACAGTCAATTGCAATATAATAAAACAATATATAACCAATAAAAATAAATAAATCAAAAGCAACTGTTAAAACCATTAAAATATTAATTTTTAAAATAACGATTGAATAAAAAGGTTTTGACCTGGCACTTGAAAGAATATAGGCTCGGCGCCAGGCAAACCTCTCTGGCAAACTTATTTTGCAATCTGGGCACCTCCGCAGAGAAGGCCCTACTCCGAGTAGATATCCTTTTTACCTCCTTCAGGGAGGGTTCCCGGAGCAGGGCCTCTCCTGCAGATCTTAAGGGGCATTTCTTAAGATGCATTCTCAAGACATATAAAATGCCAGCATTTGATCACTGTCCTGACACATAAACCTGCCAAGCAGAATGACCAGTTAACGTGATAATTGCTAAGGAGTTGCTTCAATCAGGAGTGGAACTGAAACTACAAGTTGTGAGAATGTCATCAATGTTACTGGATTCAAACCTTCTTTATGGCAGTTCCTGTTTATTTTTCACTTAATGCTGGTCTTTTAATTGTATTTAAAATGTGTATCGAAAAGTATCTCCTGTTTTATTAATATAAAGACTGAGTTAGTCCTTTCCATGAACCACCAGCAAATGAAGCCAATACACTTCTACAGAAATGGAAAACATTCTGAACAGCTGAGCTTCATAGTCCCAACATGAAGGGTCCAACATTTCCCCATCCTCCTTCCCAGGATAAGTAAGGGAAGCAAAACCTTCCTGTAACTATCATGATCTGCTGATCTGCAGATTCTTCCTTGTACAGTGTGCCTTGAGACTAGTTTGGACACGCAGACAAGGCGACATCATAATCTAGTCACCCCTTTTTTCTTTCTCCCCGTTCATCCATTCTCCATCTGCCTTTTATAATTTCTTGTTTGAAGAAGAGGTCTGAAGTTTTCAAAAACATGCATTTTTACAACTAATCCTTTTGTTGGACTGATATATGTATTATAACAACATGGATTGCACCGTGGTGGAGATGGCTACTTTTGATTTCTATTGTATTACTGCTGCTGCTACCACTATGAAACTGCATTTATAGCCCACCTTTCTTCTTGTGAGGAACCCAAGGCAGCTTACATAGCTCCATTTTATCCTCACAACAGTTCTGTGAGGTAGGTTAGGCTGAAAGTGAATGACTTCCAAAAGTCACCCAGTCAGCGTCATGGCTGAGTGAGTACTAGAACTTGGGTGTCCTGGGTTCCTAGTTCAACATTCTAACCAGACCACCTGGGTCTAAAGTCTTGCTTTACTGGGTCTAAGGCATTGGTTTACTTATTTATATATTATTTATCATTTTAAAAATTGTATTTGGAACCCATTCTGAGAATTTTTTGCAAGTAAAGTATGAGATTATATGAAACTGGGAGTAAGACCCTGTTGTATTTTCTGGATCTCTCAAATTTTTTTGATGCCGTTGACCACAGTATCTTCCTGGGTTGCCTCTTAGTTAGGAATTCTAGAGTGGTTTGATTTGTACCTGTAGAGTTGATTCTAGAGAATAGCATTCAGTGACTGTGATTCAGCCCAGTAACAGGTGAACTTTGGGTCTTGCATGGCACTATCTTGTATCCAGTGTAATTTAATATCTATATGGAGCCACTGACAGCAGTCATTATCAGATTTGAGATAGAGTGTCACCAGTATGCTGATGACACCCAGCTTTATTTCTCTTTGACATTTGACTTGAGAGGCTTTGATGAGGCTAATAAAACTGAAGCTGAATCTTGACATGGCTGAGACCTTATGGGTTGGGGCCCTTGGATCCTTCTGTGTTACTGGAGGCCCAGATGACTGTAGTGGCCCAGAGCACCCATTAACAACTCAGGTTGGTGCACCGATTGCAGCCGTTCCTACATGGGTGGGACCATACCCAGCTCACATAACACCTGTGCTACAAGAACTGCACTGGCTGCCTACTGCACTGTGCATTTTGCATTCTCGTTATATGAAGGCTGAAACAACTTGGCAAAGAGATATCCAGTGGGATGCCTTTGCTTATATATATAAATGCCATTCATCTTTAAGACTGTCAGAGGAGGCTTAGCAGGTCATTTTGAAACCATCAGAAAGTTGCCATGTAATATGATGGTGGGCTTCTTGGTAGCGGTGCCTGCTCTCTGGAAAACCTTCTGCCATGCAGCTCAGGAGGCAGAAAATGAGACATGTTTTGAACACCTTCTAAAACAGGACTTGTTTGCTCAAGCTTCCTATGGCTTATAATTCATTGCAATTAATCATGCCGCTCCATCTTACTGCTCCTGGAATTGCTCTGTGCTATTATTGTAATTGGAATTGTTTTTTTAAATGATGCAAATATGATTGTAGCATTATATGCTTAACCACTTATGGATATTACTGTATCACACAATACAGACATGTTATTGTTGTTAGTCGCAAAGTCGTGTCTGACCCATCGTGACCCCATGGACAACATTCCTGCAGGACTTCCTGTCTTCCACCATCCCCCAGAGTCCACTTAAGCTCACACCAACTGCTTCAGTGACTCCATCTAGCCGCCTCATTCTCTGCCGTCCCCTTCTTTTGCTGTCAATTGTTCTCAGCATCAGGCTCTTCTCCAGGGAGTCCTTTCTTCTAATTAGGTGGCCAAAGCATTTGAGTTTCATCTTCAGTATCTGGCCTTCTAAAGAGCAGTCAGGGTTGATCTCCTCTAGGACTGACTGGTTTGATCTCCTTGCAGTCCAAGGGACTCGCAGGAGTCTCCTCCAGCACCACAATTCAAACGCCTCAATTCTTCAGTGCTCAGTCTTCCTAATGGTCCAACTTTCACAGCCATACATTGCAACTGGGAAAACCGTAGCCCTGATTATATGCACTTCTGTTGGCAGGGTGATGTCTCTGCTTTTTAGTATGCTGTCTAGATTTGCCATAGCTTTCCTCCCCAGGAGCAAGAGTCTTTTAATTTCTTGGCTGCAGTCCCTGTCTGCGGTGATTTTGGAGCCCAGGAAAATAAAATCTGTCACTACCTCCATTTCTTCCCCATCTATTTGCCAGGAAGTGATAGGACCAGATGCCATGATCTTAGTTTTCTTAATGTTGAGTTTCAAACCAACTTTTGCGCTCTCCTCCTTCATCCACATCAAGAGGCTCTTTAGTTCCTCTTCACTTTCTGCCATTAGAGTGGTACCATCAGCATAACTGAGGTTGTTGATATTTCTCCCAGCAATCTTAATTCCAACTGGTGATTCATCTAGTCCCGCCTTTCTCATGATGTTCTCTGCATATAAGTTAAATAGACAGGGCAATAGTATACAGCCTTCCCGAACTCCTTTCTCAATTTTGAACCAATCAGTGGTTCCATGTTCAGTTCTCACTGTTGCTTCTTGACCCACATATAGGTTTCTCAAGAGACAAATAAGATGGTCTGGTACTCCCATCTCTTTAAGAACTTGCCACAATTTGTTGTGATCCACACAATCAAAGGCTTTAGCATAGTCAATGAAGCAGAAGTAATGTTTTTCTGGAACTCCCTAGCTTTCTCCATGATCCAGTGTATGTTGACAATTTGATCTCTAGTTACTCTCCCTCTTCGAAATCCTGCCAGTACTTCTGGTAGTTCTCGGTCACATCCTGCTGAAGCCTAGCTTGTAGGATTTTGAGCATAACTTTGCTAGCATGTGAAATGAGTGCAATGGTACAGTAATTTGAACATTCTTTGGCATTGTCCTTCTTTGGAATGGAATGTAAACTGACCTTTTCCAATCCTGTGGCCACTGTTGAGTTTTCCAAATTTGCTGGCATATTGAGTGTAGCACTTTTACTGCATCGTCTTTTAGGATTTTGAATAGCTCAGCTGGAATACTGTCGCCTCCACTAGCTTTGTTGTTGCTCAGACTTCCTAAGGCCCATTTGACTTCACATTCTAGGATGTCTGGCTTGAGGTCAGAGACCACCCTCTCATGGTTATCAGGGATGTTATCAGGGACGTTAAGTCGAGGTCAGTAACAACCCCATCATGGAAAGACATTAAGCTCTTTCTTATATAGTTCTTCTGTGTAATCTTGCCACCTCTTCTTAATCTCTTCTGCCTCTGTTAGGTCCCTGCCATTTTGGTCCTTTATCATGCCCATCTTTGCATGAAACGTTCCCTTCATATCTCCAATTTTCTTGAAGAGATCTCTGGTCCTCAATTCTATTGTTTTCTTCTATTTCTTTGCACTGTTCATTTAAGAAGGCATTCTTATATTTTTCTAGCTATTCTTCTAGCATTCAATTGGGTGTATCTTTCTCTTTTTTCCTTGCCTTTCGCTTCCCTTCTTTCCTCAGCTATTTGTAAAGCTTTCTCAGACAGCCATTTTGCTTTCTTGCATTTCTTTTTCCTTGGGATGGTTTTAGTTGCTACCTCTTGTACAATGTTGCAAACCTCCATCCATAGTTCTTCAGGCACTCTGTCTATCAGATCTAATTCCTTAAATCTATTTGTTACCTCTACTGTATATTCATCAGGGATATCATTTAGGTCATACCTGAGTGACCTAGTGCTTTTCCCTACTTTCTTCAATTTAAGCCTAAATTTTGCAACAGGAAGGTCATGATCTGAGTCACAGTCAGCTCCTGGTCTAGTTTTTACTGACTGTATAGAGCTTCTCCATCTTTGGCTGGAGAGCACATAGTCAATCTGATTTCTGTGTTGACCGTCTGGTGATGTCCATGTGTAGTGTCTTCTCTTGGGTTGTTGGAAAAGAGTGTACTCAAAGGTGACTAAAAGCTTGAAGAGAATTGTAAATAAAAAGCTTGAAAAAATAATGTATGACTTCTGCAAGACTTTGTATCCCATTAGAAATCAGGGACATATGACCTAATTTACTGAGTTCATTCTCTACACACTTTACACAAATTGAGAGGCTTGCCCACATTTGTAGATGCTAGGATATGGAACACTGAATTTGTTGTTCTAATTAAGTTTCTCAAGACTTTGAAACTTTACTTACATTATAATAAAGCCTGTTTCCAAGATTGCTCTAGGACAGAAAAAAGATTTGAAGCAAGAGAGGACTAAAATGAATAAATAAGTTCCTTTGGAGTAAATATTGTTTGCTTCAGTGAACTTTCCTGTGACCTGTACAATCTTGTATTTTTGAAATGATTTCATGGAAGTCCTACAGCTCTTAACCCTAACTCTCTACATACTCCTTTACCTTTTCTGTTAAATCATTGATACAATTGTGGCCTAAGGCACTAAATGTCTTAATATATTGGCAACAAGATTACTTACAGTGATGTGGGCACTAGTGAACAGGGATGCTTTTTAAGGACAGCAGGAGCATGCCCTCCTCATCTTGTGTTGCATAGCACATGTCATTATTTCTCAGGAGTATCTATGTCTTTAATTAGCAGGAGTTGCCAAATCCCTTTGCTTAAATGAAAGCAACTATTTGGCCTAAGCTGATAATCTTTCCATAGTTCTTATGAGGTATAAAAAGTTATCAGATATCTACTATCAAAATATGTTACTGTTCCTTGAATAACTTCAACATGAGTTCTTAAGCTTTGGTGACAATAATTATCTGTGGTATAAAAATTATTTGCCTCCAAAAAATAACGTCCCTGTTTCTGAATGTCAGAAATGAGAATATAAACTGTTTTTAACATCTCTGTGATGCAAAGAATTACTCCAAATTCATGCCCATATGCACATACTTGAATAAACTAACTAGGTTATAGCACTTGGTAGATACCTTTTCTCATCCCACCAAAAGGATCCTTGTTCGGTTCATACGACATTCTCCCCATCATATCTGGCATATTCATAGTCTGCTGATAAGGTGCATTTGGGGTCATGGAGTTGCGCTTTGGGAATGCGGAATCACTGACATCTGAAAAGGGATCATGCACACTAACGGAACTATTTCTAAAGAGATGGAGGAAAAGAAGGAATTAATATTATGGCAACACAATTATATGCATTGTGCTATTAGATTAGATGGTGGCCCATTCAGGTCATTATATTAAAGTGCTCTGAAAATCACCAGCTTTACCATGGCAGCAAAGGAAAATATTTGTGCAGGATATATGGAACATGTGTCAAATTGGAGACAATATTTATTGTGAGACTAAAATATGTGTTTGGTGTCCCAAACATCTTTCTTTTAATGGGGTGAACAATCTCAGAATTGAATGTTACCTGCCCAAGGAACAACAAGTGAGCTTCAGAACTGAGCAGGGAATTGAGCCTTGGTTCCCAGCACTTTGGCTATTACACCACACTAGACTGCTGTTCAGTTACATGGATATCCAGCAAATTATTGGCTTCAAAACTTCTTAATAAATTATAACAAGGAGTACAGTGTCCAATAAAAATGCAATGTGTGACTACTTGAAAACATCAATTGCTAACTAGTATAGAAATATAACAACTTCTCCAGACTTACTTGCCAATTTACTATTCTGAAACTCTCTCCAATTTTATTTTCAAAAGAACCCACCACATGTATAAGTGTTTTGAGTGGGACACATAAGTGCAGAAGACTCAACCTCCAAAATCCACTTGTGAGCCAAAACAAACTAGTCTCAACACAAATCCTGGTGAATCCTTTGCAGTTTTACTTGAGCAGTGGATGCAACTCTCAAGCCAAAGACTGAACAGTGGATGCAACTCTCAAGCCAAGAATAGCTGTGCCATTCCAGTATTCTGAATACACAGTGGCCAACCAGCTGCTCACAGAAATCCATGCACAGGACATGAGATGAGCAATATATACCACTTCCTCACAGTAAACACAGTGTCTGCAGTTTCTGTGAAAGTGCCTCCATTCATGGCTGGAAAATGGAGCCAGGATCATAATGTGATGGCAAGCACGGGTGGGGTAACTGCCAGCTGTAACCAAAAACGTGGCTGGCAGCAAGAAATACATGATACTCGTATTCCAGATACCAACAATATTTTTCCAAAAGCAATATAGTGCATTTTGATTCAAAGGCAAATGCAACATCCTTGAAAGAAAGGGAAGGCTTCTAGATTTGAGGCAGCAAATGCACAGACAAGTAGGTCAGAAAGACTGAGACAGGGGAGGAAAATATACTTTGTTGTACCTGCTGCCCTGCATAGGTGTCATCTGTCCATGAGGTGTAGATGCTGGTGTTGGAGGCTTGAGATCACCTGGCACTTCTGTCATGGAGTTGCTGCCAGTGGACTGAGGGGTCTGTGGACCTTGAAGGGAACCCGAGTTAGCTGTCAGATTTAAAAAAGGGGGTGGGGTGGGAGAAAAAAACATTAGGTATATATTGTCATTTGTGGGAGAAATATGCCTTTAAGAGGTGGGAGGACGATGGAGGGAAAGAGAAAGCATCTCATCATGAACTTGCTCTCACAAGTTCATCTCATCTTGTCGTCTTTGAATAGTTTTTGTGCTTGAGATACGTTTTATGTTAATAAATTCCTGTCTTTCCTGTATCTCTCAGGGTGGTTGTCGAAACAAGTAGCTAGCTGGTATCTACCCATCTACTGACACATTCCTTATGTCTGATACTCTCAATCGTTCACTTAGAATTCTTCACAAAAATGTTTAAACTGTAAGAAATCTGGTTCTTCTGAGGCTAGTGGCTTATTGAATGTGTCTGGAACAGGAAACATTAATATACACTGTTTTCAGGGCAAAATAATGATCTCTTCCAGAGTGTCTATTCATATAAATATGACTGAAATAAAAGAGAAGGGAACACAAGATACCCAACTGTGAATTTGTAGACTATGTTTCTATCTGCTGGTTGTTGTTTTTGAAACTACTAACTATGAACAGATGCAAAATGAGGTATAGAAGAGAAAGAGACAATACGATTTTCTGTGAACCTCAACCATGAAACAGAAGATGCAATTCTAAGGGCTGGGATGTGTTCCAACAAGTATTACATTTCAGTCTTTTATTTTAGGCTGATAAAGTGCTTATCAGTAGTTGGCAGTAAAGGTGATAACCCTTGGTATTAAGAAATAGCTGTATTTCTTATTCTAATTGCTCTTAGGAAAACAAACAAAGCCACAGACAAGCCAGAGTGGATGTGTGATCCAGTGCTGAAAAGGTGATATGCTAAAATTACAAGTGAAGCATTGTTTGGGATATGTGTGGATGTTCACAGGTTTTAGTTTTTTTTAAAGATCTCCACGGTGTCCAGTTGTAATGCCAAACCAGCCTTGTGCCTGCTTATTCTTACTGTATCTGATGGCAGTCTGGATTTGCAAAGGAGCACTCAACTAGCAGGCCAACAATAACAGAAATGAAGTTGAGACATTTCTTAAAATAATCCCATAGAAATTTGTCTGTTGGGGTTTATATGAATTGATCTAGTGATGTCATAAGCAATATTTGACAGATGATTCCCTTGTCTTTAACTGATCCCCCCTGTTGCATGTATATCTGTCCCTTACTGTAAGGTAGTACTATATTTTTTTCCCTATACATGCTACTACTGGGCATCCATGGCTGATGTGTAAAAGGGTCAATATAACTTTCTGCCATACTTAGATTTAAAAAAAAATCTTTTTCTTCCTTAAATACAAAGAACTTTGCAAATTTTGGTATTTTATAAAAATGAACTAAAATGAAATCCTCACCCATTTGCACCAGTCGAATTCACTAGGTACAGTCATTCCCAGCATGGGCAGGGCCATGATGTACCTGCCTGCCATACAGCTGTTAAAGATGAGGAGCCTGTCAGAAAAAAGAGGTGGCAGCCCTCATCCAGCATGAACATGGTTGAATACACAGGGTTGCCATTCTTTTCAGCACTTAAAATCCTGGGCTTGGATGGATGGATCTGTTAAGTTCTGGTCTCCCCAACATTCATTTCTTTCTTTCTTTTCAAATCTCATGTTCTTTCTCTCTCAAATACAGAGAAATTTGTGAATACAGAGAATATTTGGTAAATTTGGTTCTCAAATACAGAGAAATTTGGTAAATTCTTATCAAAACTGAACTGAAACAAAATTCTCAGCTGACCCTCATTTGAAAATAGGCATTTTGTATATTTATGGCTGGATACCCATATATTTGTATAGGTGGGGGAAAGATGGGACAAGATTCTTTCCTCCTCCTCCTCTTTTAATGGAGAAAGAGCTAGCCATTTCAGTCTTACATGTACTAAAGATTTTGCTAGAATATATATGAGAAGGTAAGTGGCCTGAAATAAGAGTGACCCATCAAAGTGGCAGGAAAAGGCCCCAAAATGAATATAGTGAATCCTGTGGTATGTCAGAAGCACAGAACTGCTCTTTCCACAGCTATGGGTACTGTCCAGAAAGCACTGCCACTGTGCAATCTCTGTTCATTCCACTGAGGACTGTAAGCAGGTTTCACTGAAATCAAGAACGATTGTGCAGTAGCAAGGCTTAGTGAGTTGCTAGATTATATTAGCTTGGAAGGTAGGATACGTCCAAGAGTCCTTTTATTTATCCAGTCCTGCAATATCCAGTTAATAATAAAAGGGAGGGAGGGAGGGAATGAAACCTTTTCTATTTGCCAGCAATTCCCCCCACCCTACATCAGGTTAAAAAAAAAAAAAAAACCTCTTGAAACTCCATTAATAAGAGGCCTAACATGCTCTCTAGGATATCCCTACCTTTTGCCAGAAGCTACAAATGTATACTCTAAAGTAAACAATGGAAAGGTTACTGAAGGTTAAGTACATTCACATACTTCAGTCTTAACAGCCAGACACCACGCTGGGAAGATAATTTACACAGCATGAACTCAATGCCCTAATTCTGATGGGGGGGGGAGCAGTGGGAGGTTTAGCAGGATGCGTCACATGTCCACAGTGAATGGAGGTCAATCAAAGGGCACCTTTGTTTATAACCCAGACCCGTTTCTCATTTATCTTCCACTGGGGATTCCCTGGTTGGCTGCATGACAGATTTTGTGACATCACCTGTCAGCTAATAATAGAAATTCAGCCAGCCACCTGCCAGCAAAGATAGATGGATTTTTGGTTACAGACTTACTAATTAAATGACTAGCTTACACCCTCCCTCCCCTCCTGTTGTTTTTCAGCTGCCAAGGAAACCCAGGGAGCAAGCGCCTAGTGTTCTCTGTTAAGGCAGTCTCCCAAGTTTTACAGGGTTGCTGTAACGAGACCACTGCTAACATGATCAAGACGTAAGTTTTTGAGAGATGTGGCTCCTTTCTCTCTATCAACTAAAGTAGAGGAAATAATGGATTAAGCTACACATCAGCCAGGTTAATAAAGGCATGAGCCCATATGAACCTGAAAAAAACACAGGGATATTTGCAAGAAACTATACCTTGATTTTAGTTTAGGAAATGCCTTTTTTTCTCATACAATTTTTGAATGGAAGTGAATGCCACTTCATGAATCAGAGCAGATATTGCATTCATACATTTTGAGGGGTCATCAAAGGCCCAGTTCTCATGTTTACACAGCAGTCAGCCCCTATCAGTAACCCAGAATTGTTAGCATCAGAGCCTTAAAACAGTATCACTTGGTTGAGGTGTAAGAAAGCCTTCCTTCCACTTAACACGAGCAAGAATCTCTGGCTAAGGCTAACACACATTACTTGGCTGGAGGGATCTTGTACATGCAGTGGAAGAACAGATGGAGCACTCATGAACCTAGACCTTGCATGTAAGCAGAGTGCATGCAACGCAGTGAATGTTGTGGGCAGCATTCACACCCTTTTGTGAGAAGGAAATATGTGTATATGTGATCTGCTTGTATTACATCATATCACACATACAAAATTATCAACTGTGCAAAATAGCTCAAAGTGATAACTGTCTTTGAAACTGGCAGGACAAAGTGAGGCCTGGGGTCCAGCATGATAAATTTCTCTAACACTGAGATATCAGAATGAAAACAGCACTGGAGAAACTGAAATAAGCATATTTATTTGTTAGCCTAATAATGCTTTATAGTAAAATGGACTTTGGCTATTTTTTTGTAGTCAACATAACTACCTTTCCTTTTTATATCAGTTTACACAGCAACTGTATATTTGAGACATAATTGGCTCAAGTTAGAACATTTGCATGACTACAACTGTTTTCAGTAGGGGAAAGAAAGATGCAAACTATATTGTAATGAAACATTTAAAGCAAGGCCTCTCAAATACTAACCTTTCCTACCATGTAAAGTGAAGTTCAATTATATATCAAATGTGGCCACTGAGTTTGCTAGGAGGAAAATAGAGAGTGTAATTTAATCCAATACATAAACGTTTTCCTCCCCTCTTTCAGCAGATGCTGATGAGAATTCTATTTTATAATTGACTTCACACAATTAAATCATGCTTTAGAAGAGCAAATGACAAAACTTGAACAGTCTCCTGCTTCTTGCCTTATTTATTCCATTAAAAAAGGCATGATAACCTAACAACTTGCAAATAATCTTTTTGTGAAGTTTATGATATCAAGGGGTCAATAAAGTGTTTGCTGAAAATAATTATATCTCAGCAAGATTTCATATATTTAGGCTCTTGCATCCCTGGAAAACTTTTCCTGGTACAGACTCTTTTGCTCCCTATACTCAAATTTCTTTTTTAATTTAGAAAAGGATTTCCCACTTGATCCAAAGACACCTTCTTTGAACAAATATGTTGTTGAATGGTATATTTAAATTTGGGACTGCACGCGCTGACATTTCTCTGCTTCACCAGTTATTTAGAGTAAAAATAGCTTTCCCACTTGAAGCCTGTCTGCTTCACGCCACTAAGAGAGTAGACAAGGATAAGCAGTAGCAGTTGAAAGTAAATATTGACTCAGTTGCATGGGAAAAAGCCCCCTAACACTGATTCATCTTGTGTACAGAACAGTCACCCAAACTAAGCAGTCTTGTACCTTTCCTTGCAATGTGTGGGGCTTTACAAATATTATGCAGATTGAGTAGTTGCCACAAATAAGTTTCCTTCAGCATTTCACAGTGTATCCACTGCTTTTCCTTTGTATTTTTGAAAGTTGATATACTGTAATAAAATGCAACAGAACTACAGCAATCACTCTTCTTATTCCTGGAAAATAATTTTCCTATCACATGTGGACTAAATAAAACAGGACAAACAGAAAGATTTCTGACATTATTTTTGGATGGAAATAAGGGCCACATTAAAAAAGATGTTATTACTTTTTGGAAAAAAATGAACATTATTAAGAACAAAAGGTCTCAGGAAACCTTACAGACTACTGGACTAATTGTGGTAAATATTTCTGTAGACTCATGACCACTTCATCAGGTGTACAGTGTTTTTCTAAGTTGGCACACACACACATACACACCAAGCTACAGAGAAAAAACATTTTTTAAAAGTAGTGGCCATGAAATGCAAGGAGTAGCAGAATGCATGGCCATGAAATGCAAAAAGCAGTGAAGGTCTATGACATTTCTATAATGAGGCCATATATAAGAACAATGTGATCATATGATCTTTTGTTGCAATTTAATAACTATAACAGGAAGGAAAACCAGGGAACTGATTAAGTCAGTTTGAATAGAATCTAATTTACTGATAAAATTCTAGTCCAACCATTATATAACTAAAGTCTTTCTTTGCTGAAGTATTGTGAGTCTGAAGTCAGTGGAGTCGTGACTTAGGAGACTGAAATGCTCTTCTACTTGTTTTGTTGTTGGATTTTGACCATTTACTCTCTTGTAGAAACTGACCTATTTGTTTAGAAGGACATTGTTGGTAGGTGCTGACATATATATCATGTGAAGCATGAGCTGGTGAGTGGGCTCCTGATTATGATTTTAAGTTGTCTTGGGGGTCCTATTTGGGCAATTTATAATTAAGTAAGTAAATAAATAAATAAGATAAACACGGTAAGTTTTCAGTAGAATTAGCTGAGTTAATATAGGGATAAAGTTGCCATTTTTGAGAAGCCTATCCCTGCTGTAACTGTACTGAGACATTAGCAAAGAGCTGCAGAAGCTCTAACAGAAGTTAACACAAGTTCTCTGGTGCTTTTATGGCCTATATGTGTACTTGGTCTCTCTTGTTGCCTTCATTTGCTTTCTCGGTCCATTTCTTCTGTATCTACTAACTGCTATTTCTGGTTCATCCTTTCTTTCAACTCATCTCTCTCAATATTGTGCCCTCTTTTTTCTAGACTATTCAACTCTGCTAGTTTGTGGTGTGATTCCTCCTTTGCTACTCTTCCAGTTCCCATTTACTGTCTTTGTACTCTTCTTGTGCTATCACACTTTTAACTTCTATCAAGTGCACTTCCCCTTTGCAAGGCTTTCACGTAAACTAAAATATTCTCTGCTTGTCATCAGAGAAGCTCAGCCAATCCTACCAAAAATGTCACCACCTTCAGTACAAAATCCATTAGTATCTTGCCATATAAAACAGCATACTGAGAACAGTATGTGCTATAAAAAGGAATCTAAACAAAAATTTAAGTCTACTGTAAAGAAGATGGCATTCTTGTTCCATTGGTAGTTAAAAAATGTTTGGTTGAACACAAACAGAATAATACCATCATACTCATTCCATAGGCTCATTGTTAGTAGAATTCCACTTAAAGTCCATAATAAAGGAAACCAAGTCAAGATTTGCTTAACATTTTATAGTTGTATTTATAGAGATTCTAAACAGATCCTCAATATTTGTATAAATGCTTGCCTTATCAATCTGGAGCACATTTTGTTTCCCACTGAAATTAGATAAGGTTCTTGTAACTTTTAACGCAACTTGAATGTTGTAAATCAAGAGATGTGAACAAATGATGATGTAGGTGAACACACAACATATATTGCAAAATTCACTATGAAAGCAGATATAATCTCCTATAAGGAAACTGTTAATAGAGAGTGTCAAATACTATTAAGAGGTATTTCATGCAAGATTGTTCAAAATTCATTAGGAATATAATATCTACATATAACAGAGGCTGAAATGGTCTAGATCCATTCAGTATTTCCACCACCTTTGAGTGTTTTAGAAAACATTGCTTGTGTTCCTGCAGTTCTTCTGCTTACCAGGAGATGGCGGTTGAATCTTAGGTTGTTTTTTGGTATCTCCAGTGCTGAAGACTTCAGGAGGGGGCTCCTCCCCTCGTTCAATCTTGCATTCAAAGGCAAACAGGTACTGAATATATTGTTTTTTCAGGGAACTGGCTGCGCTGCTTGAAGTGCCAACATTTAGGTTGGTTGCCAGCTCACGCCACTTCTTATTTTTATTAACCTGGGAAATAAGTAAATAAACAACAACAACAACAAAAGAATCATTCAATTACAGCAAATTGAATTGATTAAAGCCAGGAAACAAACCTACCCCCACCCCTCCACACAGAAATACAAGTATCTAATATCCAGTTTGTCGGTTTGCTTAATTTGCCTCTTTTAACAATTGCTCATTATTCTCATACTTAGTAATGCACAACAATATTTACACTTATATCATGTTTTTAAAAACCTGCTGATGTAGAACACTTTGCTTGTGGAAAGACATAGTCTGTCTGGCACCATTTCTCTGTTCTCTACACTTTGGGGGACTTTTGATGTGCATTTACTCCTAACTAATGTGTACGTTCTTGCTCTGACACACACATGTATATTCAGTCTCTGTTTTTTTGAAGCAGCAGCATCTAGACAGTGATTTAAAATGGCAAGAATAAGGTTATTTCACTATTTAACGCTGATATGAAAGGCAGTTTTTCTTCCGAAACAGTTGCTAGCTGAAGGATCATTTAGTCAGTAATTCCTGATTTGAGTGCTAGGACTCCAAGGTTTCTTGTGCTGGAGATCAGTGATTTCTTTGCAAAACAAAAGCACCAGTAAGAATTACCACAAATTTGGAACATACCATAACTCAAAGATATTTTTATTGCAGTCTTTCTACCAAATGGTGCTATGCTAGAATGAATCTTGTTTGGTGCTATATGACACCCAAAACTGTGCCTCTTAGATGTGTATAGATTGTACTTTTGGTACTCAAACTAATAGGATATATGCATTTTCACATATTTAAAAAAATGCGGCATCTAACAGCTTCCAAAAGCTTGTTCATATATGAAAAAATACACTTGTTCATTATGATGCCACACCCAGTCATATGCTTCCCTTTCTGCACTTGTGCTAGAAATGTATCATGTGAAGCACACCTGATTTACAAGGACTCACCATGTTACCATATGAAATTCTGCTGAACATTTCTCTTCACAGTGTAAAAGCTCCTCACCCATTGATGTATTCAGTCAATATGGGCTGAAAATGACTTAAATCTAAGTATTTGGCTTATCAATAACTTTAAGCTGAATGCAAACATTGACTCATTTGTGAAATAGGTTGCATTTGATACAGAACTTATTCTACTCTGTGCTGCTCTGAAAAAAGGTTGTTAAATGGAATTCTTTTTAGTGGAACTTAGAAACAAACTAGGTTCAGGATTATACCCTAGATCAGTTTAAGAACTTCAAGCTGAACTGGTTTCTTCATCAAGTTGTCAAAAGAGCTGCATCTCATTTTAAGTGTCAAATTGACTTCTTGTGTCATGTACCAATCCACTTTCACCCCAAATAATTAGATTTCTTGTTTCATGTAAGTTGTAAAAACAGAGGACATTATTACTGATTGTAGTTACTACTAAAGTCTTTATGTTCACCAAGGAAATAACTAAGTATATGCTTAACAAGCCAGAAGAGCTCTGGGTCCCCTGGTGGAAAAACTGTTTCGAAAGAAATGCTACCCATTCCCTAGATTGGTCTTCCTTAAATTTGGTGCCTCCCAGATGTGCCGCAGTAGATGAGTAGGACACCAGATAGTAGTGGCCCTAGATATACTTTGCATTTTCCGTATTTCATGGGCTAAAAATGAAAATGCTTTCATTTTCATTCGACTTTCAGGAATGATGCTTCTCTTTCACCGGCCATTTCAGAATCTGTATATGGAGACCCTAAGGGAGCTGTAATAAGGCTGAAGATGTGGGAGAGGAGAACTGAATTTTTAAAAAATTATTTCATTAGCCAGAAAAAACTACAGAGAAGGTAAGCAGACAAGGCAAATCCTTTGCCAGGAATGAGCTGTTCTGGGCAAGGTCATTCCACAAGACATGAAAAACTGCAATGTGTGTTGGTAATGAAACCAGCACAAAGGTTTGCTTACCGCTGCAACCTCCTCCTCCTTTCACGGTATTATCAGGCTTGCCTTTCACAGAGCCAAAGACCGAATTTTGCTTTCACTTCATTTGGCATATAATACAGCTGAAATTCATTCTCATATTTAGTTTTATACCTGTGACCAATTTACTTCTTTCCAGATTACACATTATTGAAATGATTAACAAACACACTGTACATTTTTCCTTTTTTAAACACAACATTGGATTCAATACTGTGAGAATTTTTTCTAAGTTTGCTTTGAATTTTGGGTTGAGTAAGGGAGATAATAAGGCAACTTCATTTATTTTAACTTGCCTTTCAAAGAAAAATAGCAAGCATTTTTGTTGTTTTTGTTAAAAAAGAGGGTAAACCTCTAAAAACCTCTAGCTTAGAATATGTTCTTCAGACAACAATTTTTTACCTGGGCTAAACCACCAATCTCCTTAACACAGACATAAAGCCGGAAAAGATCGAGTGGTTTCTTGCCTACAGCAGGAAGACTGGCCACAGGTGTTCCCCTCTCTTCCATGAAGTTGAGATACCGATCCACCCACATTTTGCGCTCTGCTTCATTTCCCAGCTCATACATTTTTGTAATCTTTTCTCCAGTTGTGGTGGAGGAACTTGATTTCTAAAGCAAACACATTTCAAAAAGAGAGTTGGGGTAGGGATGGGAAGAGAAGAGAGTAAGAAATTCGTAACAGTGACAAAGATAGGATGTTCAACTAAAGCTATCACACAACATTCAGGAATGAAGGCTACTAGTTCAGGCTCAAACAGTACATTCTATCCACATGCTGCAGGTTTATCTAATAACAAAGGGCCCAAACTCCCCATTTTATTATTGGCAAGTTTTATCCAGTTAGATGATCTTTGGATCTCAGAAGGCAAATTTCTGATGACATCCAAGCACACTCTTAATTTAGCTATAGGGAATGATGCCTTTTACATGTAACATACAAGGAACCTCTGAAACAGAAAGATCACTCAAAATTCTACCTTTAAAGAATGCTACCAGAGAGAGCAGCTTTAAAAAAAACCCCTTACACTTAAAGAAATAAGCTTGAAAAGAAGCAGAACAAAACATTGCTGTCATTTTCTTTCTCTTTTTGGTCCACTGCTGGGTGAAAAATAGTTAAAAGTCAGTCAACACCAGCATTTAAAAATGTTCTCATTGTATTCCATTGTAGCACATGAGCTACCAAAAGTGAACCAAATGACATGATTAACTGATGGAAGTGAGTTGCCAGCAGTACATTATACAGCACATTCTCCAAGGTCTTCCCATAAGCCTGAGTTCAATTCAATTTTTTATTTATGAAGCAGTAGCTGGCCTGAGTAATTCATAGCCAGATGATCAAATCCTAGCTCAGTAAGTCAGCCTAGGCATATGAACTCAGCACACCTGCAGAAGGTGCAGATAGCTACAGTTTCCCCTTTACTGTCAACCATAGCTTTGCTTCACATGCTATGGCTATGGGTATGCCCTGGCTAAATGCGGCTTCTTTGCTCACTCATGCAAACGGGGAAGCAAAGCAGCAGCAAAAGCTCTGCATAAAGGTGCATGAAGCTTGTACATAACATGGCTTATTCTAACAGGATTTGATAGTCTGAACTAGACATAGAGAACACACCATCACTTCCCCTTAGTCTCTTTGGACCAACTGCATGTCAAGTCCACATGATAAAAAAGTTGAAAGAGAACCTGGCAATAGCTTTCCAGTTGGGGGCAGCTGCTGAAGTCTGATCCTTTTTACTGTATGATTTCTCCTACTTATGAATAGCTTTTAGCAGCTAAATTGGGGTAAACTGTGACTGATAGGATGCTAGAGAAGGGTTTGGTTTTAGCCTGACAGAGAATTTTTCAGAGATGTCTCTAACTCTGCTGTTTAGAGATATTTATTATTTATATTTTTAGTACCTGTCAATACCTTTGTATTTTAGGTACATTGCAACCTGCCATGAATTCTAAATATATTAAATGAGCTGTCACAATAATTTTGTATGTGGGAAACTTGACAACTCAATGTTTCAAAATGGGGAAGATAGCACATTATTACCCAAGATAATAAGTAATCACAAAAGTTACTGTCAAAGATTTCATACTAATTTTTGGTTTGTATGAAACCAAAAAAGATTTGATTTCCTATCAAGAGATAGGAAATAGGGTTTTGACCTCTACAGGGATATATCACAGTCTGCAATTTCTTTCTTATACAATCCTTTCAGTTGGATCTCTTTATTTTACACATCACTACACATCTCTGCATTAGAATATACAGGGGAATTGTTAAATTGCAACCTGACTTCACTTTATGGAACTGCATGTGGTTCTGCATCAAGGAAATCCCGTGTATCCATCAATTTAAATAATTACAAAATGGGAGCATTCAGCATTGAAAATTGTAAGCATATGGCATGATTTTTATGGATGAATTTCATACAGTATTTTTAGATATCAGTTACATCACTTGCAGCCTGATAATCAAATACTGTGTTGAATGTTGCAATACAAATATGATGGGGACAAATAGACAATCACAGACACAGCAGTACTAATTGTAAGCCACCAGGGGTTCCTTGCAAGAGGAGGAAAGGCAGAATATAAATGCAATAATAATAATAATAATAATAATAATAATAATAATAATAATAATAATACTGTTGTGCCAGTGATGGGTTTGCAACTGAATACTGGTGGTAGTACAACACATACAGTAGCAGAGTTCTTGGTTTGTAGGTATTCCAAGAACTCAACAGAACTATTATCTTGTAATAAATATGGACAGTTACCCATATCCCAAGGAACTACCTTGAGAGGATTCAGGCTTTAAAATGGGTCAAAAAATAACGTACAGTTTAAAAAAATCTCTAACTTTGGTCTTCTCAATATGGATTTTTCAATTCCCCATAACTTTTAGAAGCACAAACACTATTTTGAACTACCCTGTATGTGTTTATTACAAACTTAATGTGGGCCTTTAATGTGGGATCACAGGAAAATTATGGCTATGATCTTTCTCAAGTGGAAAGTCCCTGATTCCATGAATTTCACAAGCTCCCAAAGATGGGGGTAGTATATGGTTGAAACATGGGGAATTCCTTAAGTATTTAGAGTCAGAGTTTTTATTTCCACAGTTAGTTCCACTGAATGTAACATTAGATAGGATCCAGTCAGAGTTAATTTTTTTTGATCCCACTGAGTTAATGAGTGATAAATTCCTTAACTTCCAATCTCCCCACTGAAATCAATATATTTAGCTTCGGCTGGATTGTATCCACTGATTTTCTCTACTTAACAACACAATTCTGTGCATGTTTAGACAGATATCCTTTTGGCATATTAATTATCAGGGTTGATTGTGGTTTAGTAGATGCAAATAAAGGGCTGCAATGGGATAGTCTGCTATGACATAAGGCATCCCATGTGGCCTCTTCCATGGATCCATTTGCTTAACTGAGGAAGAGGTTATTTCTTTAATAAGCCTATGCTTAAAAGCAATTATATAGAAAACTGTTTCTGCGAATTAATTTTTAACAGTGCAAAAAGTTTTCATCAATATTGAAAATATGTCAATATCAAGTTAAAACCTTTGGTTAACCTTGCAGTTTTGAATAGCAACTAAGGAGCAGCAAATGAATTGTTTATGGCCCCTGAACAACAAATTACAGCAGCCAACAAAAGTGTTGTTAGTTAAATTTTGTATTTTCTCACTTGTGATGTCACATGTTGGAAAACGGCAGTACATGTTATCTATGTTTAATATACCCTTAATTATTGTTCACTCTGCTGCCGTGCCAATTGACTATTACATGAAACATTTGGATTTAATAACTGAACAAAGGTTTTCAATTTTACACAGTGAAGCATTTCTTATAACACTATATCATCAAAGAAGGGAAAGTAGTTTACAGTCTTTTCACTGCTGGGCACTTGTACTGTCTACATAAAGAAAAGTCACTATTCAATGAGATGGCAACAGGCCACGAAGTGACAACATAAGCTGAAAATATCACAATTTACAGACGGTAAGAAGGACTCCTCACTGCAGGAGCTTTCAGGCTGTCAGGCTCAGTAAAGCAGGTGCAATTTTCTTTTAAAATGAAATATTAACTTTTAGAAGAAAAAGGAAAATGTTCCTATAAAGCGCTTCTTTACTGTCTGCAACACACAGCTAAAAAAGCATTAAAAATTTGTTCATCTACATACTTCCTTAAAGGGAAGTTTTATATTCTATACTTCTAGAATTTATTAAATTATCAACTAAAGTCATTTCAATAATCAATGCTAGACTAGATAGCAAAAAAGTAACATTTTTTATTGATATAGACCAAGTCCTTGAACTATTGCAGCTATTTGAGCTAGCATAGAATAAGCAAAAGTATTGCAAAAATAGACTTCTGAAAGAATATTAACACATTTAATTTCCATACCTGATTTGTTTTATTTGGGATTTCATAAAACATGCAAAACAGAAAAAGTGTTGGTAGAGAATGCAGCTTTAGCATATTTGCACATATAATACAACTTGTACGGCAGTAGTGTATTTATTTATCAGTATTTTGCCTATTCTCTCCATATATGATACAAATCTGTAGCAAACTACTGTTGCATGCATATATGCAACACAACTCTCTCAGTGTAGGCATGTAGAGACAAATACAAACTTTGCTGCAGGAACAGTGTACTGTTACTGATGAAACCTGAATTGGGAGACTGTATATCCCTCAGAGCAAGTACTGTGGCAGCATTATCACTTCGTAATTTTATGTATTATTGTCCCAAATGATTCCCAAAAGAAACTGTTCACTGTCCTGCAATAGTGAAAGTTGATAATGACTTATGATTGCTCATATTCACTATATCTCTGTTCATTCTGGACATTCACCAGATATACATTCCTTTGTGATGGCTGACTATCTCAACATCTTAGTGTTCTCTATAACTTATATATTAATAGAGAAATGATCCTCATACTGACAGGCAGGATGAATGAAGAGGAAAACTCTGTGCATATAATAAGGGGCCCTGATGGGAAGCAATGTATCTCTTGGTTTGACAATACAGTACTTGAGAAATGGCTTTTGTATATATTGATTTAATCTACTCATCATGTGGATACAGACTAAATATAAACTAACCGTAGTAACAACATAATTGCATATTGTTACAATTTATCTTGAAAAATAATTATGGAATTTAGTCCTTATGCAAGCAATATAGGCTTATACTTAACATGGTTGGAGGCCCCAGTCAATCTACAATTTGCTGTAGGCCCAGAAAATTGGATATTTGGGGCAAGTTGAAACTGGCCCTGGATCTGCTGTATACAAAGACTCTTTATTTCCCTGGGAGGCCTGAGATTTGGCCTCTTCAACCAAGCAAACCTGGAGTTGGCATAGTTAATACCACTCCATTGAAAAAAATAATGGGGTGGGGTGGGAACAGCCACCAAGGAAAAGACAAAAAATGTCTCACACCTATTGTCTTGGCTGACACAAACCAGTCAGTTTTGGAAACGGCAGGCCATCTGCCATTCCATCTCCTGCTACAGTTTGGATTGCTCTGCCCACCTTTTTTCTTTACATTGCCAAAAAAAAAAAAAGTTTTCATAGCATAAGGATATAATAATGCTTAACTGCAGGTTTTGAATTTAGTTTCTGTTCAAAATTAAAATCTGATCAAGGAGTGGGTCTGATTTTTGGTATTTGTAGTTTATACAAAAAATGTAATCTTATACTCTGATAATCTAAGATCTAATAATTGCTATGCCCAGTAAAATCTCACAATAAATGTATTTGGTTGCCCAAGGATATCTAGTAGAATATGAATTAGTACACCAGTCTAACACTTTTTTATTTTATTTTAATTTGTTTTAATTTCCATTGAAATCAAAGAACTGTGATGATAAGTAGTTTGGATACGTTACTTCATTCAGTGAAAGTTTATATTACTATAGATTAAGTATATCTAAAGTGAAGAGTGTTTGCTCTAAACTGAAAACAGAAACGTAATTCTTCCACCTCAATCCAAAATTTTTTGAAGAGGTTCTTTTTAATTTATGTGGAAACAAAACATGCTTTCTAACAGGCTCCCTGGGGATGGATAACGGCTTAAAAAACTCATGAATATATATTTGCTGCTAAAAAGATTTGCATTTCTAGAAATCTTTAAAAAGATTGACAGTGTATGCACTTAATGTCTCCCTGTGCCCATTTAAGGAAAAAAAAGTATTGTGAAAAATGCAAAAACAAGTTCAGTTTGCAGAATTGTTCCTGTAGGCATTCATTCACATTTGCCCAGTTCTGAGCATAGAGAGAACACACACTATCAGATGCCTTCTGAGATTCAAAGTCATTGCCCTTTTGTCCTCTAAACTAGGTGAACTGCTGTTGCTCATTTTCTGTATGTCTGTCTTTTTCCATCTCCTTTCTACTTTTCCTGATGTTTCCTCACCAAACACAAATGAATTTGAGCAAGGTTCTCAGAAAATCTTTTCCATTGTGAAGCATAAATTTAAAATACTAGTTGTGTTCTTGCACATTGGCCTTTTGTACTGGTATTAACATTGCCCACTGAGAAAAGCAAGAAACAATTTGATCAAACAGGAAGTATTTTTAGGACAGCTGATTCTAGTAATGCTTATGGAACAAATGTGAAATCATGGTAAACATGTGACTGTAAATGAAAATAGTAGGTATGTGTGGAGCATGGTATTCCCTCTTCCATAATATCTAGTGCAAGTTCCCTAAAGCTATGAGGCTCTACGTTTCTTTGTTAGCAACCAATGATATGGAATGGGGTATGGTCACTGTAATCAGGATATGGGTAAGTCATTGTATTGCATGGTACGGAGGTGGGAACTAGACATGGGCCTGCTGTTATTTCATATGTTTTTCACAACATCTACTATGGCTGAGGAATCTACCATGGTGAAATCTTTAAGACTCAGTGTGACCGGTCTAGTGAAAATCAGTGTGTCACAGTGAAGATATTCTACTACATTTAATTTTCATTTTTCATGCAGTTCTGACAATACAATTTATTTAAAAATACAATTTTTATTTTCTTATATAGCAGTATTATTGAAGTGCTCAAGTAAACCACAGTATTTGAATTTGTAATCTAGCTACAATGCTATTTGTAGATACATAGGGTTTTTTGAGAGAATGGACACTGTCCATTTGAAAAATAAATTTCTGTAGAAATATTTTTGATCCTGTACAATATTTTTTCATGAAGACCTATGTTCAAGTCATGTGGAATTATAATTTACTAACCTATGCAATTGAGGGGTCCAACAGAAATTGCTTTAAATCTGTATCTATAGCTAAGTCCTTTTTTCATTTTTAACCTAGGGAGGTGCAAGGGGTCCATTATGGATCTTAAAAGCCCTAATCCCCACGCTGCAGTTCTGATTTGGATCAGGGCCCCTGATATTTTGGAGCAAAAATTAAAAAGACATAGCTTCTAGATATGGATTTAGTAGTAATGTCTGCTTTGTCCCCATGATGTCACATACTTCCTCAAGAAAGAGAGATTAATTTCTGTTTTTAGACTGTGATGCTAATTAACACCCAAGTGAAAAAAAATATCAGTTTTGCAAAGAGTTTGGACCCAATGACTGAGGCAGAATGTCTTTATCAACACAGTTAGCATGCTCTGTAAGCTGATGCATTATGAGAAATGTTTTCTTCACAACATCTGCTATATTACAAGAAAACCAAATGTCTGTGATACACACCAATTTAATCTCTCTTTAAAAAAGGCTCAACCAAATTTTGCCCTCAGCCAACTAAGCACAGCTAAAACTGAATTGAAGAACAATAAGCTCCAAATATATATAACTGAGGGCAGAATTTAGCCTTTTCTCTCATTTCAGAGAAAGAAAATCTTTTAGTGGATAAATAATGAGGAAAAGATTCTATAAAACAAACAAGCAAGCATTAAAATATAGTAAGTACAAAAAAACCCCAAACAAAACAAAACAAAAAACACAAAAGCCAGAGCCACTTACAGGGCTTGATGGAGTCTTTGGCCAGCCTGGGCTGCCAATGCTATCACTTTCATCTCCATGAAATGAGGAGATGCTAGCAGAGCTTGGGGACATTGGGGAAGGGGCTGGCAGGTAGCCTGGGGTTGGGGGCTGAGAAATACCCTGAGAGCTGTAGCTATCCTGTGGTAGAGGAATAAAAAAAGGACAAAGGCAGGGCAAACTTTATTAAAACTGAAAAAAATACATCCAGTTTAACAGACTGACCATTTTTTTCCTTTTAACTATGTAAAATATAAAGAGAGAAAGAGAGAGAGAGAGAGACAACACACACACAGAAAAACATACATATATAATATATATATAATATGTAGAAGTATTAAAACAACATTATTCAATATAATTTGGAAAGTTTGCTGGATGCTTGGCTGAAGTCACTATGCCATCATGCTTCCTTCAAGCTAGATGGAGTGTCAAGCATGGGTTTCCCCTTATGAAATAAAGAGAAAAAGTAAATAAAAATAAAGCTGTTCACCTTATTTTAATCAAATAAGGCAGGAAAGCAAAATATTAAAGTATGTTGCTGCTGCTGCTGAAACAGCCAAAAAAGGAAGCTATAACTGAAGACAGAGAAAAATGGCTGCAAATATCATGACTAAGGTAAGTTCCCTATTACCCCACCCAGCTGCTAAACTGAATTCCCATAGAAGATTTTGTTGCAGTTTCTTTGCTCCTGTGAATTAAATGCCATAAGAACTAGTAACTTTCAGATCCACACAATGAAGGGAATAAAATAAAATTTAATTAAAAAAAAAGATTGCACGTGAATGGAAAAGTACATGCAGGATAGAACAGAAAAGGGCAAGCTCAAATCAGAGAATGAAGGACAACATAGCAGAGTTCTGTTTTGCCAAACCAACGCCACATGCAGCCAAGGAAGTACCTTTTTGCTCTCAGGCTGAGGAGGCCCTTCTTCTTTTCCATCTGGTTTGAGATGAATGGGCAATTTGGACTCGCCTGGAGTCATCATATCTGCAAGACCCATAGGTGCTAATCGAAAACAGGAGATGTGGTTTAGCATTAAGGTTGATGCCCAGCTGTCAAAAACTGTTGACACAGGAAACACAGACTATACCAGTACCCCTCCTTTTATGGAGGCCAACAAATCCTTTAACTTCAGCAAGTACAGTTCAAAAATGTGTTTGATATGCAACAAGGGAAGATATTTCTATACTAGTGTATCAGTGTGGCCATTTTAAAAACCTGAAAACACTTTTTTGGGTAAATTATTGCATGATGAACTACTTGTGACAACAAAAGTACAAACCATGTATGTTTGCCATGGATGCTAATACTGCAGAATTATTACCAACTTAATTGGTACAAGGGTCTGGAATATAATATTTAAATAATAAATCTTATGGATACTTCCAAAATCGCTATGGTTTTCATCATACATGACACTTTCAAATGAGGGACTGAACCACATCCTATGGAACACTGACACAGTGAGGAAGCTACTGTGATTGCTAGTGCTGTATGGAGGTGGGTATAAAACGGCATTCTGTAATACCCAGAGCTGAATGAGAGGCAATATAAGAGACACTGATTATTTGGTTCAAATGGGTGGAAGCCATTGTTGCAACTGGTTCCTTCACATCTCCCTAGTTGTGAATACAGTGATGGGGAATGACAAGCACCAGATTTACTTCTGCCTCTTCTTAATGTTCCCATCACTGACAAACAGTGTGTCATACTGGCAGAGTTGCCTTCCAAATGAAATTCTTGCACCCATGGATCCTCTTACAGGTCAGATCCACTTGTCAGTAATTTAGATATGGCTTTATTACTGGACAGACAGAGGTATGAATGATTCTCACATCAGCTATTTCAACTAATAAATTATGTTCTGAAGTGGCCCTTGTGGTATGCTATCTGAAGCACAATAAAATCCTTATGATTACAATATAAAATATCACATAGCATTTCTCTGAGCCTCTTAGTTACCAAATCCCAGATCTGCAACATACTCCACAGCAGCTACATTCTTCAACTTGTAAATTATTCTGTAGATCTGGCTCTGTAGCTGACATGGACATTCAGCATTTTTCCTTCTTAAAGAAGTCAGCTGGGAACACAGCTGAATACTGATAATTCTTGTTCACATAACACTTATGCAGACACTTTACAGAGGTGTGCCAAAGAAATATTCATCCCCCCTGCCCGCAGTGTTTTGAAGGTATGAAATGTGCAGTCAAGGTTATTGTTGTACCTGAATTTCTTGCTTTAAGCCTAAGGGCAAAAAGAAGCATTCACATCCAAGATGTATGTCACGTTTCCTCTATACAATATAGAATTGTATGTACACATATTCACTTTGGGTGTTGAGTTCTTAGTTCTAAAATTAACTTACAAAACACATTCTTAGACTCAGCTTAGGAATAGCAGTACTTGACTGTGGTTAAAGGAACCTTCTGCCATATCTCAGTCCTCTCATCCACCAAAATCATTATCACCTCTTCTGTTTGCTTAGACTATCTTCAGATCTCTACATCTGGTTTCCCATAGCACCTCCTGGTATCCAGGACAGACTGCTTTAAAGCCTTCCACAACTTTGCTTCACTGAATATTGATCATTATCACTTGTTATATTCCTGCCCATGAGTTCTGTTCCTTCAGCTTTAGGATTCTCAGCCATTCATCTCTTGCTTTTTAATGAGAGTCAACAGATTCTGCCTTGCTATATCTGCATAGGTAAATCCCTCCCTGTAGGTGTTTTGTCATCTCTCTTACTTTGTTAATCCCTTTGCAAAGCTTTTTTCAAGGGTTATTTGGTTTAAACCTGTGCAGCGGAACCCAAAATAGGTTCACTCAGATGTCAATCCCACTGTATTTAGGATTATAGCCTAAAGCTCCTGTCCTATACTCACAAAACTGGACATAAGCCTCACTGAATGGGACATACTTTTAAGTAGAAATGTACAGGGACTACACAGTCTTGCCTGCAACTGTAACCAAGCTGAACTTATCTGTTTATATTCCCTCTTTCCTATGCTTGCCCTGACTTCCCCATCATCTATTATAGTTCCCATTGTCTGTTTTAGTTTTCAAGTTTTTTGAATACTTTTTCCCCCTTATGCAACACTTTGAACTGCTATAAACATACTGACCACTCTACATGTGTAAGAAAACAGTAGGCAAGTAATGCTAATTATGCTTATAAATATTTGCAATCTATTTCAAGGAACAGTAACAAAACATAATAAGAAGATCATGTTTATTTTTTGAGATCATAGTAAATATTCAAATTGGATAAACTTCAATTTTTGTGATTCAACTGAGAAATCAAAATAAGAATCCCACCTCCCATGGATGCATTGCTTAACACAATTAGAAAAGCAGGTGGGCAATGGGAGTTCCACATTTGTTATGGAATATAAACTAATTAAAATGGCATATTTTAGTCACTATGTGAAATGTTTAGAAGAAAATGGAGGAAGAAAGAAAGGCCAAATAAAAGCTGAGTGCAAAATATGATGGATATTACAGATAAATAAAATTCTAGTCGGATTATTGCCCTGCTTTGATTTTTGCTAAATGGTAATGCAGCTTTATGCTCAGCAGCCAACATGTGGGAGAACAAGCCAAAGGGAAAGGGGGAGCTTTAAAAACACTTCACAGATTGCCCACTACAAAATGATTATTGCACATATTCATGTATTACTATGTTTTAGAAAATAATTAGTTTTAATTACAGCAGTGAGAGCGCAAGCAAGACTCTGGCGAATAAGCTGGCAAGCTTCATGGTGCTAATTTGCTAATATCTTTAGCATCACTTCACTGCAGGTTGGGAGAATGGCTCTGCCAAAAAACCTACCCAGCCATGTGCCATATGAGTTTACAGCTAACTATATACGCAATACTGCCAGAGGTTTTCATGGACTTATTTTTATGTTGTTGTGGTTCATTTGCAAGTTGAACAAGGCTTTAAAGATCTCAAAATGCAAAAATTACCACTTAGCTTTCCCTTTACTTTTTTAGTATGTTTAATTTTAAATACATTAATAGAGATGAGCTATCTTTTCCCAAATAATACAATTACTGAGGAAAAGGCTACATAGAGCAGTTAAGCATTTCTGGATTTTTTAATAAATGGGAATGAAGCCATAAATAAGCAACCCACAAGGATATACAGAAGATGAAATGCATGAGACTATCTGATCAGAAATCCTAAACTCACTTGTTCCATGGACATCTGTGCAAGTTAGCCCAATCAGATACCACTCTGCCTAAGGTTGGCACATTTTTCTAAAAGAAACAGTGCTGGTGACAGTGTAAAGTCTTTACCAGTTCACCAGCTATATGCTTGCATGATGATTCTTTCCCAACGTGCTTTGAGCTGTGAGTGCAGAACATCAGCTTGTGCTAATGGTGGATTATTCAGTGGTCCTTTAATTGTTCATAGGGATTTCATGGCAGCCGCAAAATGTGGATGGAGAATTGCAATTAAAAACTTGAATGACCAATTATGACCCAATGAATTATGTGGGATATAGTTTATTTTGGAAGCACTTGTTACTACTTGCCTTGATTTAGCAAGATTCAGATATGCATTGGGATGTATATCACCATCTGTACCACAATTCCCAGGATTCTAACTAACTCTCAGCTGGATCAAGGCCACTGCGTTATCCTGAGAAGGAAGCACTAGTGTAGAGTCTAAATGGATAATAGGTAGGTATTTCTTTACCTTTTGCTGATATGTTGAACGTTCTTTTATACAAGAATATTCCTGAGTGAATTTCAGCCTTTTTTTTTTCCACTGACAAATGGAGAACATCTTTGGACTCTTTTTCAAACACTGAAAGTACACCATTGTTCCAGTTCTGGCAATTTAACGTGAACATGCTCACACGTCTATAATGAACTAATGATCCTATGCACACAGGATAGATGAATAGATGTAAAGCAAGATGACAGTGAAATCTGTGACTGGAAAAATGTTGTAATGTACAGTGGATATGTTAAAAAACTAGCTTTCTACAAGAAGTAGAAGGTTAGAGTAATAACAATAGTAATAAAAAATACAAGTCAAGTTCCTGAAATAGCTATAATATACCAAAGTTAGCATGTTCAAAGGCAAATATAATTCGAGTTAAACTTCAGTCAAATGATCTTTTTTTGCAGCTAACAGCATACATATGGCTCAGTATCAGAAGTTAGTAAAATACTGTAAAAAATACTGCCTTTTCTTTACTGCTGGGAAAACATCACAAATCACCCCACAAGCAGGAAGCTGTGTTACTGTCCTATATGCTAACCCTCTTTACACACAGAGTGAGACTATGATCCATTTTAGGAATGCTGATCCGTCCCTCCATGAGGACCTCTAACAATAGTTAAGTATTATTATGTTCATATCTCTTCCCCACACCCTTTTATCTTTATACACATTTCTTTGTACACAGCTGCAAGGGATCCAAGTAGGTTTGGATTTCTATGACCTCTGGATTCTGCCCTGACTGCCCTATTCTGAGCCATGGTTAGGAACACATCCCACCCCCTACTTTTCCCTTAGATGAGACCATAGAAGCAGTCACTTATTGTATTCTACAGGTTTGCATCAATCTGAGTAAAAATCCATTTGATATGCTGGAGTAGCATATTCCCATGGAAAACTTGAATCTAAGCAGGACCTCTCCCCCCCCCCCACAATTTCCTTCCTTCCTTCGACTCCACCCTCAGGGTGACTCACTTAATTGGCCTGCTTTTTTGGTCTGAGGCCTCTTGACAAGGGCCTAAAAACTCCCCCAGGATCTCCATGCCTGTTCTATAGTGTTATATAGTGTCCCTCCCATGACAGTTTGGTTCCCCCACTCTGCCTGAGCAATCCTGCATTGTGACATTGGCAGTTCAGAGGCCTCTGCTATCTGTCTATCTATCTATAAAATTTGTATGCCGTCCATTACTTGCCTCTCTGGACAGCTTACAACATAAATCAGAATAAAATAAATAAATTGACTATTCCACACTGGCTATAGTTAATAAAA